TCTCTCAACCAGCTTCATGAGATAGTCACCTGGAATGCATTTTAATTAACAGGTGTGCCTTTTTAAAAGTGAATTTTATGATTTTTTTTCCTTTGCTTATGTGAGCTGTTCTTGCCATAATATGGACTTGGTCTTTTACCAAATAATAGAAGATAGCCCTATTTGGTAAAAGACCAAGTCCATATTATGGCAAGAACAGCTCAAATAAGCAAAGAGAAACAACAGTCCATCATTACCTTAAGAATTTGATAACAGCGCCGGAGAAGATGGCTGCCGTTTTACAGCCCTCTAACCAATTGTACTATTATGTGTGTTTTTCCGCGTTATTTGTAATTTATTTTGTACATAATGTTTCTGCCATCGTCTCTTATAACCAAAAAGAGCTTCTGGATATCAGGACAGCGATTACTCACCTCGTATTGGACGAAGATTTTTTCTTCAACGAGGCGGCCGCGAAGGATATCATACAGACACCCGACAAGGCCCAAATCCCCGTCATTCGCTTGAGGAAGAGACGGAGATATCGTGGACGTAGATCGGGGTGCCTTGTAAGGGTCCGACGGCGAGCGAGTAAACTGCCTCTTCCATCAATCCTATTAGCCAACGTTCAATCATTTGAAAATAAATTGGATGACCTAAGATTACGGTTATCCTACCAACGGGACATTAAAAACTGTAATATCTTATGTTTCACCGAGTCGTGGCTGAACGATGACATGGATAACATACAGCTAGCAGGCTATACGCTACATCGGCAGGATAGAACGGCTGACTCCGGTAAGACAAGGGGTGGCGGTCTGTGTATATTTGTAAACAACAGCTGGTGCACAAAATCAAATACTAAGGAAGTCTCGAGGTTTTACTCGCCTTAGGTAGAGTATCTTATGATAAGCTGTAGACCACACTATTTACCAAGAGAGTTTTCATCTATATTTTTCATAGCTGTCTATTTACCACCACAAACCAATGCTGGCATTAACATTGCACTGAATGAGTTGTACAAGGCCATAAATCAACAGGAAAACGCTCATCCAGATGCAGTGCTCCTAGTGGCCGGGGACTTTAATGCAGGGAAACTTAAATCCGTTCTACCTAATTTCTCCAAGCATGTTAAATGTGCAACCAGAGGGAAAAAAAAACTCTAGACCACCTTTACTCCACACACAGAGATGCATACAAAGCTCTCCCTCGCCCTCCATTTGGCAAATCTGACCATAACTCTATCCTCCTGATTCCTGCTTATAAGCAAAAACTAAAGCAGGAAGCACCAGTGACTCGGTTAATAAAAAAGTGGTCAGATGACGCAGATGCTAAGCTACAGGACTGTTTTGCTAGCACAGACTGGAACATGTTCCGGGATTCTTCAGACAGCATTGAGGAGTACACCACATCAGTCACTGGCTTCATCAATAAGTGCATCGATGATGTCGTCCCCACAGTGACCGTACGTACATACCCCAACCAGAAGCCATGGATTACGGGAAACATCCGCACTGAGATAAAGGGTAGAGCTGCCACTTTCAAGGAACGGGACTCTAACCCGGACGCTTATAAGAAATCCTGCTATGCCCTCCGACGAACGATCAAACAGGCAAAGAGTCAATACAGGACTAAGATTGAATCGTACTACACTGGCTCTGACGCTCGTCGGATGTGGCAGGGCTTAAAAACTATTACAGACTACAAAGGGAAGCACAGCCGCGAGCTGCCCAGTGACACAAGCCTACCAGATGAGCTAAACCACTTCTATGCTCGCTTCGAGGCAAGCAACACTGAAGCATGCATGAGAGCACCAGCTGTTCCGGATGACTATGTGATCACGCTCTCCGTAGCTGATGTGAGTAAGACTTTTAAGCAGGTCAACATTCACAAGGCCGCAGGGCCAGACGGATTACCAGGACGTGTACTCCGAGCATGTGCTGACCAACTGGCAAGTGTCTTTACTGACATTTTCAACATGTCCCTGACTGAGTCTGTAATACGAACATGTTTCAAGCAGACCACCATAGTCCCCGTGCCCAAGGACTCTAAGATAACCTGCCTAAATGACTACCGACCCGTAGCACTGACGTCTGTAGCCATGAAGTGCTTTGAAAGGCTGGTCATGGCTCACATCAACAGCATTATCCCAGAAACCCTAGACCCACTCCAATTTGCATACCGCCCCAACAGATCCACAGATGATGCAATCTCTATTGCACTCCACACTGCCCTTTCCCACCTGGACAAGAGGAACACCTACGTGAGAATGCTACTCATTGACTACAGCTCAGCATTCAACACCATAGTGCCCTCTAAGCTCATCACTAAGCTAAGGATCCTGGGACTAAACACCTCCCTCTGCAACTGGATCCTGGACTTCCTGACGGGCCGCCCCCAGGTGGTAAGGGTAGGTAACAACACATCTGCCACACTGATCCTCAACACGGGGGCCCCTCAGGGGTGCGTGCTCAGTCCCGTCCTGTACTCTCTGTTCACCCATGACTGCATGGCCAGGCACGACTCCAACACCATCATTAAGTTTGCCGACGACACAACAGTGGTAGGCCTGATCACCGACAACGATGAGACAGCCTATAGGGAGGAGGTCAGAGACCTGCTGCTACTCTGTTAATTATTTATGCATAGTCACTTTAACTCTACCCACATGTACATATTACCTCAACTACCTCAACTAGCCGGTGCCCCCGCACATTGACTCTGCAACGGTACCCCCCTGTATATATATAGCCTCCCTACTGTTATTTTATTTTACTTCTGCTCTTTTTTTTCTCAACACTTTTTGTTGTTGTTGTTTTATTTTTACATTTTTTGTTAAAAATAAATGCACTGTTGGTTAAGGGCTGTAAGTAAGCATTTCACTGTAATGTCTGCACCTGTTGTATTCGGCGCATGTGACCAATACAATTTGATTTGATTTGATTTGAAGACATGAACGCCAGTCAATACGGAACATTTCAAATACTTTGAACGTTTCTGCAAGTGCAGTCGCAAAAACCATCAAGCGCTATGATGAAACTGGCTCTCATGAGGACCGCCACAGGAATGGAAGACCCAGAGTTATCTCTGCTGCAGAGGATAAGTTCATTAGAGTTACCAGCCTCAGAAATTGCAGCCCAAATAAATGCTTCACAGTTCAAGTAACAGACACATCTCAACATCAACTGTTCAGAGGGGACAGTGTGAATCAGGCCTTCATGGTCAAATTGCTGCAAAGAAACCACTACTAAAGGACGCCAATAAGAAGAAGGGACCTGCTTGGGCCAAGAAACATGAGCAATGGACATTAGACCGGTGGAAATGTGTCCTTCGATGTGTCTGTGTCTTTGTGAGACGCGGTGTGGGTGAACGGATTATCTCCGCATGTGTAGTTCCCACCGTAAAGCATGGAGGAGGAGGTGTTATGGTGAGGGGGTGCTTTGCTGGTGACACTGTCTGTGATTTATTTAGAATTCAAGGCACACTTAACCAGCATGGCTACTACAGCATTCTGCAGCGATATGCCATCCCATCTGGTTTGGGCTTAGTGGGACTATTATTTGTTTTTCAACAGGACAATGACCCAACACACCTCCAGGCTGTGTAAGTGCTATTTTACCAAGGAGAGTGAAGACCTGATGACCTGGCCTCCACAATCCCCCGACCTCAACCCAATTCAGATGGTTTGAGATGAGTCGGATGGCAGAGTGAAGGAAAAGCAGCCAACAAGTGCTCAGCATATGTGGGAACTCCTTCAAGACTGTTGGAAAATCATTCCAGGTGAAGCTGGTTGAGAGAATGCCAAGAGTGTGCAAAGCTGTCATCAAGGCAAAGGGTGGCTATTTGAAGAATCTCAAATATATAATATATTTTGATTTGTTTTACACTTTTTTGGTTACTACATGATTTCATATGTATTATTTCATAGTTTTGATGTCTTCACTATTATTCTACAATGTAGAAAATAGTAAAAATAAAGAACAACCCTGGAATGAGTAGGTGTGTCCAAGCTTTTGACTGGTACTGTATGTTTGTAAATATTTGTAAGAATTCAAATTCAAATCTACTTCTGTCTTTGACCAGGTTTCTTTTGAAATGTGTATATATATTAAAAAACTAGATTATGTTTAAATAAATAAATAAAGGTTTTACTGTGTGCTGTGTCTTAACACAACCCAGAAACTGGGAGCTGGTGAACAGGCTACTCAGTCAGTAAAACTATTGTTTTCCTTCACCTCAACACAGACATGAAGACAAAGACACAGAATATGTCAGGTTGCAGACTGTTTATATACCATGACAACACTACGTAGACTAGCCACACTAAATCACACTATAAGCTGGACGCATGCTGACCAATAAAATGAGGCACCAAATTCACAAGGAGAGATGCATCACATTTAGAGTGGGTCATAGATTGAACATCAACTCTACAAGGCTTCAGTCACAGTGATAAGTTCCCACAGAGGTTTCTTTTTAGGGATCTAAACTCTAGTAAAATGCATGGAAGCACACGGCAATGGATCACCACTTGACTAACTTCATAGTACAGTACATTTTGATACAATCTTTAAAAGCATCACCAGTGACAGGTTAGCAGCTCAGGCGACAAGATGAACATTTATCTGCCTAGGAGGTAATCTGGTTTTAAAACAGTCGGTCTTCCATCCCTTACAATACTTAAATGTATCTTTAAATTCTTCCTCTTTAAGTGCGATAACATTAGCGCATATCTACTGTAACAGATAGGGATCATACCTTGACAACACTAAGTCAGGTGTCAAATGAGGCTGTGAACTACAATTTCCCAATGCCCTCCACAACCACTGTAAATTCTTGTGTTCACATGTTCACTAGGCATTAGCCTGCTGTATACTTGAGATCCCAGTAGGGTTAGTGCATAGGGTGTACATGAGGTCCAAAACAAGACAACAAAGACCACACTATGAAGGTGAAATAAAACAATGCCGGACTACATGAGATCATTGGGCGAGTCTCCGCCCACAGGAAGTGAGTTGTTGTTACATGTCGTAGAGGACTTCTAACACCGTGGAGATGGACCAGGCCTGTGATTCGCAGCTGAAGGGGCAGTACTGGCCATTCTCATTGGTCAGCTCTGGCAGACCCTTCCAACTAGACCTGGGGGGTTAGAAGAGACATGGATGGATGTTCAAATAGTGTGCGTAAATATGTGTGTTTGTGTCTTTGTGTATTTACCTCTCCAGGTGGACATAATGCTGAGAGAGAATGCTCTTCTTGGCAAAATAGAGCTTTGCTCGAAGGAAGTACCCAATTGGCCACAGCCACTCCTAAAAAACAAACAAGTGATTATACCCATCAGATCAATTCAATACAACTTTATTTATCCGCTCAGGAGCATTGCCATAAGAAGTTGAACAATAACTCCTCATTTAAGGTGTGGTACAACTCCAAATCCTGAGTGAGGCACACTCACTGGTCCTTGGTGGTAGTTGAAGCCTCTGGCCACATTGTAGTTGTCATTATCCAGGGCGTTGTCATAGACACCACAGTACACCATATCACTGGGGGAGAAATAAACGTGATGTCAGTAGTATATAAGCCAAGAAAATATATATAGAAAATTAATCAGTAAATGAAGAGGGGCCAGGAGCTTTTCCTGACCATATGACCTGAATAGGAAAAACTTCTGGCCCTACCAATGACTATTAATGGCTGTAGGTATCTTACTCTGGATCCAAGGTCTTCATTCCCAGAGGTCCTAGCAGCTTCTTCTCAGCGACCTCCAGGGCCTTCCAGGCTCTCTCCACCGTGAACAACTCAGGAGCCTCAGGGACAGAATAGAGAAAATATTCAACTCATTAATACCTCGCAAACTCCCCCCCCCCCCCCACCACTATAACCATCTTCTACCGACACAGTTCTTTAGATATATTTACACACAAGGGGTAGCCAAGAAAACAATGATTTATATATACACTAGATGACTGATAGAGGGGCGCTGTTTTGAAGCCACATTGTAAAAAACATTTTGGAAGCTATAGAAATGCATTTTAATGTCTATATTTGGTTTTGTCATGTTTATTCTATTACAGACACCTTAATGCATACTTTGACATTATATTATGTGAGCTAAACATAAAGACAGAAGATAGCCCTATTTGGTAAAAGACCAAGTCCATATTATGGCAAGAACAGCTCAAATAAGCAAAGAGAAACGACAGTCCATCACTTTAAGACATGAATGTCAGTCAATACGGAACATTTCAAGAACTTTGAAAGTTTCTTCAAGTGTAGTCGCAAAAGCCATCAAGCGTTATGATGAAACTGGCTCTCATGAGGACCGCCACAGGAATGGAAGACCCAGAGTTACCTCTGTTGCAGAGGATAAGTTCATTAGAGTTACCAGCCTAAGAAATTGGTCTGGAGTCCAAATTGGAGATATTTGGTTCCAACCGCCGTGTCTTTGTGAGACGCGTGTGGGTGAACGGATGATCTCCGCATGTGTAGTTCCCACCGTAAAGCATGTAGGAGGAGGTGTTATGGTGTGAGGGTTCTTTGCTGGCGACACTGTCTGTGATTTATTTAGAATTCAAGCATTCTGCAGCGATACGCCATCCCATCTGGTTTGGGCTTAGTGGGACTATCATTTGTTTGATATTTGACCAAGAAGGAGAATGATGGAATGCTGCATCAGATGATCTGGCCTCCACAATCCCCCGACCTCAACCGAATTGGGATGGTTTGGGATGAGTCACACTGCAGAGTGAAGGAAAATCAGCCAACAAGTGCTCAGCATATGTGGGAACTCCTTCAAGACTGTTGGAAAAGCATTCCAGGTGAAGCTGGTTGAGAGAATGCCAAGAGTGTGCAAAGCTGTCATCAAGGCAAAGGGTGGCTTTTTGAAGAATCTCAAATATAAAATATTTTGATTTGTTTAACACTTTTTTGGCTACTACATGATTCCATATGTGTAATTTACAATGTAGAAAATAGTAAAAAATAAAGAACAACCCTTGAATGAGTAGGTGTGTCCAAGGTTTTGACTGGTACTGTACAACATTGCAAGAAAAGGGCTAAGGCCTTGGGGGTGAATTCCATTTTAAATCAGTCGATTCTGGAAGTAAACTGAAATTCCAATGCTTCTCTATGAGAAAAAACATGAAACAGGGCATGAGCTGATGCCACTCTGATGGCAACTCACCACCACCATGGCGATGCAAAAGTTGGGCCTGAGCTGGTAGTCACACCAGGGGCTGGAGGCTCCGTGGCTGTCCTTGTAAATGCCTCTCTTGTGGACCAGGTCTGGGTGCTTCTCGTTGGGGTCCTTCTCATCATGGGACACATAGAAGTTCTTCTCAAAGTTGACCTGGATCTTATGGTTCCAATCCTCATAGGACACCTTCAACTCCTTACCTGCCAGGGAAAACAAATATAGAATAAAAATGTTTTCATTAAGTCTTATTAGAGAAAGGGAAGTCGTGTGCGTGTGTTTGCATACATTAGAATGTGTGTCTGTGTGTGTGTATATATCTGCACTGCATGTGTGTGTGTGTGTGTGCGTGCGTGCGTGTCCAGGCAGCACTCACCATCCCTGTCTATTTTCATGGAGCTGTGGGGGAACAGGCCCTTCTTATGGAGCTCCACCAGCCAGCGTACTGCAGACTTACTGAGGCCCACCATCTCCACCGCTGACCCATCTCTTGAGACACACACAACCAGGGACATGAGTCAAATCAGATCAAATGAAACATGAATTGAATGTGCATTTATAACAGCTTCATCTTTTATGAAGAAGCAGGAGAGAGGTCCAACTACTCTGGCTTTGCCTAACAGTTTGGTTTACATTGTATTGTATTGTATTGTATTCTATTATATTGGTGGTCTATGATGGTCTTACCTGGGTGTGGCAGGCATGCCCTTGTTCCGAGCTTTGTCGCTCTCTCCCATTTTGTCCATCCATGTTCCACAGTTGAAGCGGTTGCCACCGTACACAAAGCCAGTATAACGATGCACTTTGGCCACAACATTGAAGCCTGGGAGCAAGGAGAATAATAACATACCATGTTTGCTGAACCAAGACACTATGACAATGTGCACCATAAGAAAAACCTTAACCAACGAGAGCCACTTTAGGGAATAACCGGGACACATCATTTTTCAAAATCAGGTAACGTAATCAGGAAAAACTCCTGGTCCTACTTATTAACTCAAAGTATGACCGCAACCGGAGGTGACTGTAGCAGACTCACCCTCGTCCTTCATGTGCATGTCGATCTTTGGTCCGGCATTGCGCTCTCTGAAATCGATACCCTGCATGTGGCGAGTCATGGCCTCATGGATGACATCACAAAGGGACTGTGTGAACGAGAACTGAAACACACGAGGATGACGTTAGACTGTACCCCCGCTTGATGTACTGTAGGTGTATGTGTGGACATGTATGGATTTATGCATAATGTGTGTAGGTGATATGTGCGCATGTGAGAGTTTGTGGGATCGTGTGTGTGTGCATGTATTTATTAGGGATCCCCATTAGCTCTCCCTCTTCCTGGGATCCAAACACATTCAAGTACTTACATTATACATAAAACAAAAGATAAAACAGTTAATCATATAACATTATTACACCACTACATATCTACAATACAAAATGTATATTACCACCATACAACAATATTACAATGTACGTGTGTGTAGAGTGTGTTTATGCATATGTGTGTGACTGTATATACTATATGTGTTGTATATACTATATGTGCTGTATATACTATGTGTTGTAGCCTCCTGTAGCTCAGTTGGTAGAGCATGGCGCTTGCAACACCAGGGTTGTGGGTTCGATTCCCATGGGGGTCCAGTATGAAAAATGTATGCACTCATTAACTGTAAGTCGCTCTGGATAAGAGCGTCTGCTAAATGACTAAAATGTAATGTAAATGCTGTATATACTATATGTGCTGTATGTGCTGTATGTGCTGTATATACTGTATGTGCTGTATATACTGTATGTGGTGTATATACGTGCTGTATATAGTATATGTGCTGTATATACTGTATGTGGTGTATATACTGTATGTGGTGTGTATACGTGCTGTATGTGGTGTATATACTGTATGTGGTGTATATACTGTATGTGGTGTATATACTGTATGTGGTGTATATACGTGCTGTATGTGGTGTATATACTGTATGTGGTGTATATACTGTATGTGGTGTATATACTGTATGTGGTGTATATACGTGCTGTATATACTGTATGTGGTGTATATACGTGATGTATATACACTGCTCAAAAAAATAAAGGGAACACTTAAACAACACAATGTAACTCCAAATCAATCACACTTCTGTGAAATCAAACTGTCCACTTAGGAAGCAACACTGATTGACAATAAATGTCACATGCTGTTGTGCAAATGGAATAGACAACAGGTGGAAATTATAGGCAATTAGCAAGACACCCCCAATAAAGGACTGGTTTTGCAGGTGGTGGCCACAGACCACTTCTCAGTTCCTATGCTTCCTGGTCACATTTGAATGCTGGCGGTGCTTTCACTCTAGTGGTAGCATGAGACGGAGTCTACAACCCACACAAGTGGCTCAGGTAGTGCAGCTCATCCAGGATGGCACATCAATGCGAGCTGTGGCAAGAAGGTTTGCTGTGTCTGTCAGCGTAGTGTCCAGAGCATGGAGGCGCTACCAGGAGACAGGCCAGTACATCAGGAGACGTGGAGGAGGCCGTAGGAGGGCAACAACCCAGCAGCAGGACTGCTACCTCCGCCTTTGTGCAAGGAGGAGCAGGAGGAGCACTGCCAGAGCCCTGCAAAATGACCTCCAGCAGGCCACAAATGTGCATGTGTCTGCTCAAACGGTCAGAAACAGACTCCATGAGGGTGGTAGGAGGGCCCGACGTCCACAGGTGGGGGTTGTGCTTACAGCCCAACACCGTGCAGGACGTTTGGCATTTGCCAGAGAACACCAAGATTGGGAAATTCGCCACTGGCGCCCTGTACTCTTCACAGATGAAAGCAGGTTCACACTGAGCACGTGACAGACGTGACAGAGTCTGGAGACGCCGTGGAGAACGTTCTGCTGCCTGCAACATCCTCCAGCATGACCGGTTTGGCGTGGGTCAGTCATGGTGTGGGGTGGCATTTCTTTGGGGGGCAGCACAGCCCTCCATGTGCTCACCAGAGGTAGCCTGACTGCCATTAGGTACCGAGATGAGATCCTCAGACCCCTTGTGAGACCATATGCTGGTGCGGTTGGCCCTGGGTTCCTCCTAATGCAAGACAATGCTAGACCTCATGTGGCTGGAGTGTGTCAGCAGTTCCTGCAAGAGGAAGGCATTGATGCTATGGACCGCCCGTTCCCCAGACCTGAATCCAATTGAGCACATCTGGGACATCATGTCTCGCTCCATCCATCAACGCCACGTTGCACCACAGACTGTCCAGGAGTTGGCGGATGCTTTAGTCCAGGACTGGGAGGAGATCCCTCAGGAGACCATCCGCCACCTCATCAGGAGCATGCCCAGGCATTGTAGGGAGGTCATACAGGCACGTGGAGGCCACACACACTACTGAGCCTAATTTTGACTTGTTTTAAGGACATTACATCAAAGTTGGATCAGCCTGTAGTGTGGTTTTCCACTTTAATTTTGAAGGCGACTCCAAATCCAGACCTCCATGGGTTGATAAATTTAATTTCCATTGATACTTTTTGTGTGATTTTGTTGTCAGCACATTAAACTATGTAAAGAAAAAAGTATATAATAAGATTATTTCATTCATTCAGATCCAGGATGTGTTATTTTAGTGTTCCCTTTATTTTTTTGAGCAGTGTACTATATGTGCTGTATATACTATATGTGGTGTATATACTGTATGTGGTGTATATACTGTATGTGTTGTACATGTGAGAGAGATGAAGAGTGTGTGTTTATGCATATGTGTGTGGGTGTTTATATGTGTACATGTGTGAGTGTGTGTACGAGAGAGATAAAGAGAAAGTGTGTGTATGCATTTATGCATATGTGTGTATACGGTATGTGTATAGCTGTGACCTACTGGAGTGCCAGGGGCGTGGGGCTCGGAGTCATCATGGGGGTACATCCTGACCACGGGGCAGTGGAGGATGGCAGTGCCCTCGGGCACCAGGGTACAGTAGTCCTGGATGCACTGCAGCCACCACCACACTGCGTCACGGCAGTTGAAGCGGGCACTGATGCCCTCGCCCAACAGGTTGGGGATAAGACCGTGTCTCAGGGTGCCTGCAAACGCCAGGATGATGTTTCTGTTCAAGAAAATAAACATTGAATGAACATATACAAATATATAAAATGATACCTAAGAAGTTCCATTTGGATTCTAGTACAATATAGAGAATACACACCTAGCCTCCAGGTGACGACCAGTGACCAGCATGAGTCCACGCAGAGCGATAAAGGTGTCTCGGCCCCAGCAGCGGAAGATTCCAGAGGAGAAGTGTGGCAGACCTGTGAAACAGGAAGCATGGTAGAGATGAATAAAGGAAGAAGATGGTTGAATAGAGCTGAAATTCTAACACCAATTCTCAAATGGTACAGAGATACAAATATGACTTTATCAGCTGATAGCTGCTGAATTGGTCATGAACTGAAGCTTATAGCTTAGTTTCATTAAAATACCAAGCGACTGACAATGATAGGCCATTTTGATGATTACCAAAAGACATCAGTTATTTGGCTACTCAATGTAGTCCAGCATGATGGTTATTATCATTAGTTTCCAGAAATCAACAGAAAAATATTATGGGTTATTTGGGTGTTATCCGACTACTGTTTACAGTATTAGAATTGATTAATATAAATGAGGGGTTGCTATGCAGACCTGCGGCCAGGGAGACGCAGCACTGCTCCTTCTTGCCGGTGTCTTTGTTGAGGCTGTAGGGGACGTCGGGTAGCGCCAGGGACAAGGGGGGCAGAGCTGGGAAACTGCCAACACCACACATCTGGACCGAGCCCAGTGCCAGCAGTTTGACAAAGGTGGAGCCGTTCTGGACGAAACTGAACAAGACAGAAACACAGAGAAAAACATGGTTTTACATTAAAAACATTGTGCACCATTGCTGGACAAAACTGAAGAAACCACGAGAAAACACATAAGTTAAAAAAGTTTTCGGCACACCCTTAAAGGTACAGGGCCTTTTTAATACAAATATTCTCACTAAATCTAATTTAAGTATCTTCAATTGTTCTATTGCATCATTTTCGTAATGTATGTTGAGTGTGTGAGAAACATTTATAGGGTTGTTTCTGTGGGGACATACCTGGACATCTTGTTGAAGGTGATGTCCAGAGCCGTGGTGTAGGCTCCCACTAGGATAGCGTCAAAGTAGCAGGGGATGAGGTAGCGAGGGATGTGCTTCAGATAGTGGAACATCCCTTCGAGCCACTTCCCCACCTGGAAACATTTCGGACAACACATGCTATATGGATAACACCAACTTTGAAAATGATGACCATGGAAAATGGTGACAATGATGATCCTCATTTTACTACTACCACACTGGTAGATTTAAAACTCAGGTCTTGGATCTTAGATGGGCAGAGTTATAGGATGTATTTCTTTCTATTTAACATCATTATTGTCAAGTTCATCAGACGGTCTTGTCTGTCTACTTTGTCATAAGGCCTATGGAAAATCAAGAGGGATTCATTCAGTTTGAATTACTGTCACTCAAACCGTACTCACCTCTCCTAGAGCGTCACCCACGGGACACCAGCCTGTTGCTGACGTAGTCGATCATCCAGTCACCCTGTCTCAGGTTGTTACACACCGGGTGGCCCAAGTCATTCTTGGGACGAATGTCCGCCATCACTGACATCAGACCTGTATCAAAACAATGTAACACGTTTTTAATGTCTATGTCCAGTTTCAGATGCTCTTAGGCACAGATCTAGGATCAGCTTACCAACCCAAATCCTAGTGCTGACCAGGGTTGGGATCAATTCAATTTCAAATCAGTCAATTCAGGAAGTAAACTGCAAAATTCTCATTTCTATTTCAATTTACAGTGAATTGACTGAATTAAAATGGAATTGACCCCAACCCTGGTGCTGACTGGACCCCTCAGTGTGAATTGTACTGTACCTTGCAGGCCACTGTACTTGAAGCTGGTCCAGGAGGGGATGTTGTAGCAGCCTCCTCCTTCCTCCTGCTCCTCAGAGTCACAGCGGAACAGCAGCATGTTCATGTCGGCCAGGGTCAGCTTAGACATGATCCTGCATGGGGATAGAGAATAGGGTCACATAACATTACAACACACACACTCACCTTACTGGGCACAACTGGAGACTACAGATCCCCATTGATCAGTATGTTGATCAATTCCTCACTATACAAACAAACTCAGCAAAAAAAGAAACGTCCCTTTTTCAGGACCCTGTCTTTCAAAGATAATTCGTAAAAATCCAAATAACTTCACAGATCTTCATTGTAAAGGGTTTAAACACTGTTTCCCATGCTTGTTCAATGAACCATAAACAATTCATGAACATGCACCTATGGAACGGTCATTAAGACACTAACAGCTTATAGATGGTAGGCAATTAAGGTCACAGTTATGAAAACTTAGGACACTAAAGAGGCCTTTCTACTGACTCTGAAAAATACCAAAAGAAAGAGGCCAAGGGTCCCTGCACATCTGCGTGAACATGCCTTAGGCATGCTGCAAGGAGGCATGAGGACTGCAGATGTGGCCAGGGAAATAAATTGCAATGTCAGTACTGTGAGACGCTTAAGACAGCGCTACAGGGAGACAGGACGGACAGCTGATCGTCCTCGCAGTGGCAGACCACGTCTAACAACACCTGCACAGGATCGGTACATCCGAACATCACACCTTGGGACAGGTACAGGATGGCAACAACAACTGCCCGAGTTACACCAGGAACGCACAATCCCTCCATCAGTGCTCAGACTGTCCGCAATAGGCTGAGAGAGGCTGGACTGAGGGCTTGTAGGCCTGTTGTAAGGCATGTCCTCACCAGACAAACCCACCGTCGCTGGACCAGACAGGACTGGCAAAAAGTGCTCTTCACTGACGAGTTGCGGTTTTGTCTCACCAGGGGTGATGGTCGGATTCGCGTTTATCGTCGAAGGAATGAGCGTTACACTGACGCCTGTACTCTGGAGTGGGATCGATTTGGAGGTGGAGGGTTCATCATGGTCTGGGGCGGTGTGTCACAGCATCACCGGACTGAGCTTGTTGTCATTGCAGGCAATCTCAACGCTGTGCGTTACAGGGAAGAGATCCTCCTCCCTCATGTGGTACCCTTCCTGTAGACTCATCCTGACATGACCCTCCAGCATGACTATGCAACCAGCCATACTGCTCGTTCTGTGCGTGATTTCCTACAAGACAGCAATGTCAGTGTTCTGCCATGGCCAGCGAAGAGCCTGGATCTCAATCCCATTGAGCACGTCTGGGACCAGTTGGATCGGAGGGTGAGGGCTAGGGTCATTCCCCCCAGAAATGTCTGGGAACTTGCTGGTGCCTTGGTGGAAGAGTGGGGTAACATCTTACAGCAAGAACAGGCAAATCTGGTGCAGTCCATGAGGAGGAGATGCACTGCAGTACTTAATACAGCTGGTGGCCAGTATGCACTCACTAACTGTAAGTCGCTCTGGATAAGAGCGTCTGCTAAAATGTTTTTTTTTTTTTTATAATGTAAAAATGTGGCCATACCAGATACTGACTGTTACTTTTGATTTTGACCCCCCCTTTGTTCAGGGACACATTATTCAATTTATATTAGTCACATGTCTGTGGAACTTGTTCAGTTTATGTCTCAGTTTATGTCTTAAGTTTGCTGAAAATAAACATAGTATATTACCATACAGATGTAGGATTTTAATTTGAGCAAGTTTGCTACAGCAGGAAAATACTCCTGCAGCAACAGGACATGTCAATTATTATGTGGATTATAATTAATGGACATTTTTGTAGGGGTTGCTACATTTTTCGTAAGGGAAAATAAAGTCTGAAATGTCAAAGTGGAAATTACAAACTTCAGAAGCCTTTTTAAACCTGAAATACAATACAATATTTTATTTTCCTGCATCAGCTCTTTTCCAATAGACTTGGTGTGTTTGCACAGCAGTGTGTGTGTGTGTGTGTGTGTGTGTGTGTGTGTGTGTGTGTGTGTGTGTGTGTGTAGCGGGACATTCGTGTGTACAGTGCCTTCGGAAAGTATTCAGACCCCTTGACTTTTTCCACTTTTTGTTCTGTTACAGCCTTATTCTAAAATGGATTTAAAAAACAGGTGCATCCTGTTTCCATTGATCATCCTTGAGATGTTTCTACAACTTGATTGGAGTCCACCTGTGGTAAATTCAATTGGTTGGACATGATTTGGAAAAGGCACATACCTGTCTATATAAGGTCCCACAGTTGACAGTGCATGTCAGAGAAACAACCAAGCCATGGGATCAAAGGAATTGTCCCTAGAGCTCCTGTAGCTCAGTTGGTAGAGCATGGTGCTTGCAACGCCAGGGTTGTGGGTTCGATTCCCACGGGGGGCCAGTATGAAAAATGTATGTACTCAATAACTGTAAGTCGCTCTGGATAAGAGCGTCTGCTAAATGACTAAAATGTAAAAATTATGAAACCAAGATTGAACTCTTCGGCCTGAATGCCAAGCGTCACGTCTGGAGAAAACCTGTCACCATCCCTATGGTGAAGCATGGTGGTGGCAGAATCATGCTGTGGGAATGTTTTTCAGCGGCAGGGACTGGGAGACTAATCAGGATCGAGGCAAAGATGAACGGAGCAAAGTACAGAGAGATCCTTGATGAAAACCTGCACAGGACCTCAGACTGGGGCGAAGGTTCACCTTCCAACAGGACAACAACCCTAAGCACACATCCAAGACAACACAGGAGTGGCTTCGGGACAAGTCTCTGAATGTCCTTGAGTAGCCAGAGCCTGGACTTGAGCCCGATCTAACATCTCTGGAGAGACCTGAAAATAGCTGTGCAGCAACGCTCCCCATAGAACCTGACAGAGCTTGAGAGGATCTGCAGAGAAAAATGGGAGAAAATCCCCAAATACAGGTGTGACAAGCTTGTAGCGTCATACCCAAGAAGACTCAAGGCTGTAATCGCTGCCAAAGGTGCTTCAACAAAGTACAGAGTAAAGGGTCTGAATACTTATGTAAATGTGATATTTCAGTTTTATATTTTTAATACATTTGTAGAAATGTCTAAAAAACAGTTTTTGCTTTGTCATTATGGGGTATTGAGTGTAGTTTGATGAACAAAAAAAAACTATTTAATCAATTTTAGAATAAGGCTGTAACATAACAAAATGTGGAAAAAGTAAAGGGGTCTGGATACTTTCTGAATGCACTGTACAGTGAGGGAAATAAGTATTTGACCCCTCTGCAAAACATGACTTAGTACTTGGTGGCAAAACCCTTGTTGGCAATCACAGAGGTCAGACATTTATTGTAGTTGGTCACCAGGTTTGCACACATCTCAGGAGGGATTTTGTCCCACTCCTCTTTGCAGATCTTCTCCAAGTCATTAAGGTTTCGAGGCTGACGTTTGGCAACTCGAATCTTCAGCTCCCTCCACAGATTTTCTATGGGATTAAGGTCTGGAGACTGGCTAGGCCACTCCAGGACCTTAATGTGCTTCTTCTTGAGCCACTCCTTTGTTGCCTTGGCCGTGTGTTTTGGGTCATTGTCATGCTGGAATACCCATCCATGACCCATTTTCAATGCCCTGGCTGAGGGAAGGAGGTTCTCACCCAAGATTTGACGGTACATGGCCCCTTCCATCGTCCCTTTGATGCGGTGAAGTTGTCCTGTCCCCTTAGCAGAAAAACACCCCCAAAGCATAATGTTTCCACCTCCCTGTTTGACGGTGGGGATGGTGTTCTTGGGGTCATAGGCAGCATTCCTCCTCCTCCAAACACGGTGAGTTGAGTTGATACCAAAGAGCTCGATTTTGGTCTCATCTAACCACAACACTTACACCCAGTTCTCCTCTGTATCATTCAGATGTTCATTGGCAAACTTCAGACGGGCCTGTATATGTGCTTTCTTGAGCCGGGGGACCTTGCGGGCGCTGCAGGATTTCAGTCCTTGACGGCGTAGTGTGTTACCAATTGTTTTCTTGGTGACTATGGTCCCAGCTGCCTTGAGATCATTGACAAGATCCTCCCGTGTATCTCTGGGCTGATTCCTCACCGTTCTCATGATCATTGCAACTCCACGAGGTGAGATCTTGCATGGAGCCCCAGGCCGAGGGAGATTGACAGTTATTTTGTGTTTCTTCCATTTGCGAATAATCGCACCAACTGTTGTCACCTTCTCACCAAGCTGCTTGGCGATGGTCTTGTAGCCCATTCCAGCCTTGTGTAGGTCTACAATCTTGTCCCTGACATCCTTGGAGAGCTCTTTGGTCTTGGCCATGGTGGAGAGTTTGGAATCTGATTGATTGATTGCTTCTGTGGACAGGTGTCTTTTATACAGGTAACAAGCTGAGATTAGGAGCACTCCCTTTAAGAGTGTGCTCCTAATCTCAGCTCGTTTCCTGTATAAAAGACACCTGGGAGCCAGAAATCTTTCTTATTTCCCTCATTAAAATGCAAATCAATTTATAACATTTTTGACATGCGTTTGACATGCGTTTTTCTTGATTTTTTTGTTGTTATTCTGTCTCTCACTGTTCAAATAAACCTACCATTAAAATTATAGACAGATCATTTCTCTGTCAGTGGGCAAACGTACAAAATCAGCAGGGGATCAAATATTTTTTTCCCTCACTGTATGTGTATGTTTGTGTGTGTGCAAGCGTGTCTTTGTGCGATGTATACTCACTGTGCCAGGGGTGTCTCCAGTATGGTTGGTGTGTGCTGGTCGGGCAGACTGCCAAGCTTATACTTCGGGCTGAACTGGATCAGGTGATGTCTGATGATTCCCACCAGCTCTTGGGCCCTGGGGTCCAGACTCACCCTGATGAGGGAAACACAGATACATCTCAGAGAGGGAGACATATCTCCTGATCCCAGATCTGTTTGTGCCATTGGCCTGACATGAACATAGAAGTTGTCAAGACAGCATAAACAGATCTGGGACCAGGCTAGGAGACATACAGTCTGCATGGCTGGAGAGATTCCTCGGCCAAAAGGTTTTTTCCTTCAAGATGGATTTGAACCAGCGACCTACAAATCAATGCTATTTTACCTACAGTCCTCCGCTCTACCAACTGAGCTATCAAAGGGGTGAAGAGTCAACAGTATTACCTGTGAGCTGTGTGTGGACAATAGGAGGCCAAACTGACCAAAGAACATCCCCACCCATTTACATTTACATTTTAGTCATTTAGCAGACGCTCTTATCCAGAGCGACTTACAGTTACTGAATGCATACATGTTTTTTTGTTGTTGTTTTTTTTCATACTGGCCCCCCGTGGGAAACGAACCCACATCCCTGCCGGCCAAACCCTCCCCTACCTTGGACGACGCTGGACCAATTGTGCGCCGCCCATGGGTCTCCCGGTCGCGGCCGGCTGCGACAGAGCCTGGACTCGAACCAGGATCTCTAGTGGCACAGCCTTAGACCACTGCGCCACCCCTCACTAACATTGGTGTGTGTTTTATTCTATTTAATGTGTGTTTATATTGGGCTGCTCATCATGACCTCTGACCTGAAGGCTATGACACTGCCAGGGGTGAGGCGCTCGAAGACGATCTCCTGGACAAACTCACTGCTGCCCTTAGATGTCACGCCTGCATGTTTCACAACGCCACTGTCCTTCAGCTGGGGTGACAGGGGACACAAAAGACCAGATCAAGGACAAAACAGTATCAAGGTCCACAATGGGGTATTGAGAGGAGAGTTGAGGACAATTCTGAATTGGCTTTTGCTGGTCTATATCAATTATGTATATAAACACTGGATTGCTAATGCTAAGTATTGGCCAATGAGAGGCTTTGAAGCCACCTGTCGGCAGTCCTCCTTAGGAATGAATGGAATTCTACAGCATTGAAATGAAATGTTTTAAGGACAAAATTACATGCATTTAAGTATTTGTTGTTGTAGTGGGGACAGTAACATTAGAACGTATACTTTTTTTAAATACAAAAAATGATACTTTAAGGTAATTTTTTGTACATATATTTTCAGTTGACATGTTAATGTTTAGCTCACATAATATAATACAAAAATATGCATTAAGGTGCCTGTAATATAATAAATGTGGCAAAAACAAATGTAGAAATTAATAAATGCATTTCTATAGCTTCTAAAATATATATTTTTTATAATGGTGGGGGAGTGCCAAGATGGAGGCGCAGTGTTTTCAAAACAGCACCTCCTTTCAGTCATCTAGTGTATATATATAAATCATTGGTGTATACACCATTACCAAACGTTTTACTTTGACTAAATAGCAAAAAGTATATTGAGCGAAGCACATAACACTGAGTAAATAGCTATGTAAACTAAATGGCATTCAATAGAAACTCAAACAAGCCAGACAGAATACAGACACAATACCAGCTTGTGAAACGTAACCGGATGCCCAGGCTGAGAATGGATTTGTTTTGTTTGAGAGGAAAGACTTTACATCTCAAGCCCATTGTGACAGGGGGCCTAAACAACTGTAATTACCCATGTTCCCCGGCACTTGGCGTCACATTACCTGGATGTGCTCCTTAATCTCCACAGTGTACTCCGGCATGCCATTAATGTACTTCTCACATTTCTTGTAGGTGCCGGCTTGCCTGTCGATGATACGCGCCTCGAGAACCACCTCATCAATTTTACCTGGAGATGGAGAGAGATTAAGTTGATTGTGTTAAAATAGTAGGTCCTGCATCCAGGTCAGTAGTGTTCTCATGTCATCTCCTGTGCCTCTCTTGCCATTTGTTCCAATAATATTGGTTTGGAATTGATCCCTGACCAAGATGGCTGCCATTATCAGCACATTCTAGAGTTATGAAGATGAATGACATATATGAAGGTGAATGACATAGGCCACTTTAGTATTATTGTATTTCTATGGATGGCCCGTTCTGAGGACAGTGTCGTGTGTATGGTAACAGTGAAGCATCATACCAGGGATGAACATGGGTGGAACCTCCTTCCTGTACTGGTGGTGTTTGGGGTTGTGGAAAGCAGTGCGACACACGGCCACCACAGACTGGTGTGTGCTGGGACAGTGACGCGTCACCGCCACAACGTCCTCGTCCACCTGGTCCACATACACCTAGGAGGGGGACAGAGGAAATAACAAGTAATGTTCCACATAACTCTTATCACGCAAATACAGTGGGGAAAAAAAGTATTTAGTCAGCCACCAATTGTGCAAGTTCTCCCACTTACAGTGGGGGAAAAAGTATTTAGTCAGGCACCAATTGTGCAAGTTCTCCCACTTAAAAAGATGAGAGAGGCCTGTAATTTTCATCATAGGTACACGTCAACTATGACAGACAAATTGAGAATATTTTTTCCAGAAAATCACATTGTAGGATTTTTAATGAATTTATTTTTAATGCAAATTATGGTGGAAAATAAGTATTTGGTCACCTACAAACAAGCAAGATTTCTGGCTCTCACAGACCTGTAACTTCTTCTTTAAGAGGCTCCTCTGTCCTCCACTCGTTACCTGTATTAATGGCACCTGTTTGAACTTGTTATAAGTATAAAAGACACCTGTCCACAACCTCAAACAGTCACACTCCAAACTCCACTATGGCCAAGACCAAAGAGCTGTCAAAGGACACCAGAAACAAAATTGTAGACCTGCACCAGGCTGGGAAGACTGAATCTGCAATAGGTAAGCAGCTTGGTTTGAAGAAATCAACTGTGGGAGCAATTATTAGGAAATGGAAGACATACAAGACCACTGATAATCTCCCTCGATCTGGGGCTCCACGCAAGATCTCACCCCGTGGGGTCAAAATGATCACAAGAACGGTGAGCAAAAATCCCAGAACCACACGGGGGGACCTAGTGAATGACCTGCAGAGAGCTGGGACCAAAGTAACAAAGCCTACCATCAGTAACACACTACGCCGCCAGGGACTCAAATCCTGCAGTGCCAGACGTGTCCCCCTGCTTAAGCCAGTACATGTCCAGGCCCGTCTGAAGTTTGCTAGAGTGCATTTGGATGATCCAGAAGAGGATTGGGAGAATGCCATATGGTCAGATTAAACCAAAATATAACTTTTTGGTAAAAACTCAACTCGTCATGTTTGGAGGACAAAGAATGCTGAGTTGCATCCAAAGAACACCATACCTACTGTGAAGCATGGGCGTGGAAACATCATGCTTTGGGGCTGTTTTTCTGCAAAGGGACCAGGACGACTGATCCGTGTAAAGCAGGGGTGTCAAACTCGTTTTAGCTCAGGGGCCACATGGAGGAAAATCTATTCCCAAGTGGGCCGGACCGGAAAAATCATGGTATATATAACTTAAAAACAACAACTTCAGATTGTTTTCTTTGTTTTAATACGATCAACATACAACATAAAGCTGGAGCCTGAGGACAGTGTGTCCAAAATAGTACAAGCACAACATCACTATTAATCATAAAACACGTCAAGTTTATTTGAAAATTCTAAAGAAAAAGTGACTTGCAACACAAAGCCTCCTGGTGCAAAATACAGTGAAAAGTCAAAAAATCACGTCCTCCATTTGCAGATTGCACTTTCTCTCTGAACTTTGTCACAACGCCTGCTTTTTTCCCGATCATTGAGGGCGCACCATCTGTAGCCAGGCTGACAGCGCGGGACCAGTCCACTCCGACCCTGTCCAGCGCGCCGACGAGTGCGGTAAAAATATCAGCTGCTGTCGTTGTATCTGTCATCGGCACCAACTCCACGAACTCCTCGGTGACGGTCAATGTGTCATCAACTCCGCGGATGAAAAAATGGCCAGTTGTGCAACATCTGTAATGTCCGTGCTTTCATCAATTGCAACCGAAAACACAATAAATGACTTTACTTTTTGCTTCAACTGGCTGTCCAAATCCACTGAAAGATCGGAAATCCTGTCTGCAACTGTGTTTCTTGTCAGGCTGATATTTGCAAAAGCCTGCCGTTTTTCAGGGCACACAATCTCCGCTGCCTTCATCATGCATGTTTTTACAAATTCACCCTCACTAAATGGTTTTGAAGCCACTGCGATTTCATTAGCAATGAGGTAGCTAGCTTTCACTGCAGCGTCACTGATGTCTCGGCTGTGAGTAAACACAGACTGCTGTTTCTTCAGACCCGCCAACAGTTCATTCACCTTCTCTCATCTCCGCTGTCCTTGAAAGTTGTCATATTTGTCGGCATGAAGACTCACATAGTGGCGACGAAGGTTATATTCTTTCAGCACTGCAACATGCTCTGAACACACCAAACATACAGCTTTCCCATTCAATTCCGTGATTAAATAGGATGACCATTTTTCTTGGAACACTCTGCACTCTGTGTCCACTTTTCTCTTTTTTGACAGAGACATATTGGGGCAATGAGGGTGCCAAAGCACATAATGTTAAAAGTAGAAGCCGTAATAAATATCGCGGGCAAAACAAAGTAGCTCATTGGCTGCACGTGCTTGACCTACTTGCTCTGCCCCGGTATAAACAGTTTGCTTGCTTAACACAATTGCTATTGCGCCATCCAGTGGACGCAATTGGAACAGCAGTTTATTTTCATAATAAATTTTTTTTTTTTTATTTTTTTTTAAATCATCTCGCGGGCCGGATTAAACCCGTTTGCGGGCCTGATACGGCCCGCGGGCCGTACGTTTGACACCCCTGTCTTAGAGGCTTACCTAGAAAGACTCACACCTGTAATTGCTGCCAAAGTTGATTATAACATGTATTGACTCAGGGGTGTGAATACTTATGCAAATTAGATATTTCTGTATGTTGTGTAGATGGGTGAGAAAAAATCTATTTAATCCATTTTGAATTCAGGCTGTAACACAACAAAATGTGGATTAAGTCAAGGGGTATGAATACATTCTGAAGGCACTGTATCTGCACATATGTGACGTAGTACGCAATTCTCTGGGAACACTTTTGGCTCGTGAGTGCTACTTTCAGAACTACTGGCAAAAAAAGTATACAAAAGTACAGAAGAATCTCTTTAATGTTTAACAATTTTTTTTCTCTGAAAAATATATTATTTTATCAATTAAATAATGTTGCCTATTGCATTTACAACACAACAGTACAACAACAAATCAAAATACCCCAAAAATAACTTGAAACATATGTTTTAAATGCAATATATTTTTATTACTATTCTAAAGAAATTAAATTACAAACAGAAAATGGAAGTCTTCAAAGGTGACAGTCTCCATGTGATCTCATTTGGAGATGTAATATCTGCAGCTTTTATTCAATATCACTTGGTTTAAGAAGTAGTCCTCAGTCTTAATTGACGCAAACCTCAGTGAGCCCAGACTGTGTGTAGCAGGGCTTCTCGGTTGCCTCGTAGTTGGATGCCTCAGCATTGTCAGATACAACTTTGGCTAGCTTGGTGTCGAATGGGTTCAATGCCACCTGGATGGCAGGCTCAGAGTCAGGCACAAGGAAGTTATCTGGGATGCTAGGCAGAGGCGGCTCACACTCTCTCAGGCTGACAGCACTCTTTCCAGGTCTCTTTTCCGACTCAGATTTGTCCTTAGTGGAGATGAACTCCTTTGACTTCTGCAACTCTTTTGCAGAATCGTCAGAAATGGGGGCACACTGTGGTGTGGATGATGCTTGTTTCAAACCAAACCGTGAAGAGATGCTCTCCCGAACTCTGGATGCCAGTGTCTGTGGTTCAGCGGTGGCTGGTTCCCTTTTCTTCAACCTGGCAGTGGCAATAGCATCAGATCGCCTTCTAGCCTCCTTGGAGATTCTCACAGCATCATAGAGAACCACTATTACGATGAAGCCATAGAAAACAAGCCCCAAAATCAGGTTCACCTTCACAAGTGGCTCGGAGTAAGAAGGGTCAGTCAATATGTTGACTCTGGGTTTGATCTTCAGGGTGCTCTTCTGAGCTTTTGGAGCTGGAGCCTGAAGATTTTCTTTGAAGACGTTGTTGTCACCTTGCAATGCTTTTTGCTTGTAAGCCTGTAGATAAGGAATAAGTTTCTCCACAATCATCTGTGGGACTTTAGCTTTACCTGGGAAAGTATCATCTTTCATCCTCTGAAGTTGTTCCAGCATCTGGTCCACTTGCACCATTTTGGTCCATTTTGCAACATTGGGGATGTCCTGAACAGGGTGGTCCTTCACTGGCATCAAAGGCCTGTGCTCTGGAACAGAAATCAGGGGCTCTACAAGCTCCGAGGGCTCTTTAGAATTTTTTGAGGAATATCCTTTTGTCAACTGGCCCACGTTACCTGGAGAAGAATCTTCTTTCACCCGTAAACTCTCAAGTTGTTCCAGCAATGACTTAAAATTGGTCTCTTTTGTAGCATCAGGGTTGTTCTGAACAGAGTGGTCCTTCACTGGCATCAACGGCTTGTGCTCTGGAACAGAAATCAGGGGCTCTACAAAGTCCGGGGGGTCTTTGACATTTTTTGAGGAATATCCTTTTGTCAACTGGCCCACATTACCTGGAGAAGAATAGTCTTTCACCCGTAAACTATCAACTTGTTCTTTTGTAGCATCAGGGTTGTTCAGAATAGGGTGGTCCTTCACTGGCATCAAAGTCTTGTGCTCTGAAGACACCAACACATTTGCAGCAACAGGCGAAAGGAGACAGAAAATAACAGCCAACAATAACATCTTCATGTTGCACAGCCCACCCTTCTGGGAGAGCTGTGCCATTTTGATTAAAGAAATCGTCTTTCAAAAGTAGGCAGTACAAATTACAAGTCAAACTACTAGTTGGCTAGCTGTGCTTTGTAAAAGTGAATTGGGTTTACTGTTCACTGTCAAACATACACAAGATATGGACCCAACATGATGTAATAGAAGAATCTGATTATAACATCACGTGTTCCAGAATGTTGTAACCTGCTCCTCATTGTATTCATTAATTCAGATAATTCATTAATTCATCTCTTTGGATACATTTGGCAATTAGTTTGACGTGCAGTCCCTGTCCCTAAACTGCTTTCTCCTACGACTTTGGCAAATGCCCCCGTGACCTACAGCTCCTCATATACTACCAGGTCATGGTAGTATCTACACTGGTGCTGGTGCTTGCGATGACCCAGCTAATTATGAGCTTTCTGACCCAGGGAGTGAGACACTTTTTGACCTTCCTCATGGCCCGCACTGCCCCCCTGGAAACCAAATGTTTAAAAACATGGTACTTTGGTGACTAAGAAAGTATTTTTTAAACCTCTCACTTTGGGCTGGATGCTTCAATGTCTAGTTCATACATGCATAATCTGAGGGAAGAATTACTGTTCAGAGAGAGAGAGAGAGAGAGAGAGAGATGACTTGTTGCACATACAGTGCCTTCAGAAAGTATTCACACCCCTGACTTTTGCCACATTTTGTTGTGTTACAGCCTGAATTTAAAATTTATTAAATTGAGATTTTGTGTCACTGGCCTACACACAATACCTCATAATGTCAAAGTGGAATTATGTTTTTCAAATGTTTTACAAATTAATAACAAATGAAAAGTTGAAATGTCTTGAGTCACTAAGTATTCAACCCCTTTGTTATGGCAAGCCTAAATAAGTTCAGGAGTAAACGTTTGCTTAACAAGCCACATAATAAGTTGCATGGACTCTGTGTGCAATAATAGTTTTTTCTTTCAAAATCATCTCGCGGGCCGGAATTAAACCCGTTTGCGGGCCTGATCCGGCCCGCGGGCCGTACGTTTGACACCCCTGGTGTAAAGGAAAGAATGAATGGGGCCATGTATCGTGAGATTTTGAGTGAAAACCTCCTTCCATTGGCAAGGGCATTGAAGATGAAACGTGGCTGGGTCTTTCAGCATGACAATGATCCCAAACACACCGCCCGGGCAACGAAGGAGTGGCTTCGTAAGAAGCATTTCAAGGTCCTGGAGTGGCCTAGCCAGTCTCCAGATCTCAACCCCATAGAAAATCTTTGGAGGGAGTTGAAAGTCCGTGTTGCCCAGCGACAGCCCCAAAACATCACTGCTCTAGAGGAGATCTGCATGGAGGAATGGGCCAAAATACCAGCAACAGTGTGTGAAAACCTTGTGAAGACTTACAGAAAACGTTTGACCTGTGTCATTGCCAACAAAGGGTATATAACAAAGTATTGAGAACCTTTTGTTATTGACCAAATACTTATTTTCCACCATAATTTGCAAATAAATTCATAAAAAATCCTACAATGTGATTTTGATTCTGCCTTGAGATCATTGACAAGATCCTCCCGTGTAGTTCTGGGCTGATTCCTCACCGTTCTCATGATCATTGCAACTCCACAAGGTGAGATCTTGCATGGAGCCCCATTGGAGGGAGATAGACGGTTATTTTGTGTTTCTTCCATTTGCGAATAATTGCACCAACTGTTGTCACCTTCTCACCAAACTGCTTGGCAATGGTCTTGTAGCCCATTCCAGCCATGTGTAGGTCTACAATCTTGTCCCTGATATCCTTGGAGAGCTCTTTAGTCTTGGCCATGGTGGAGAGTTTGGAATCTGATTGATTGATTGCTTCTGTGGACAGGTGTCTTTTATACTGGTAACAAGCTCAGATTAGGAGCACTCCCTTTAAGAGTGTGCTCCTAATCTCAGCTCGTTACCTGTATAAAAAGACACCTGGGAGCCAGAAATCTTTCTGATTGAGAGGGGGTCAAATTCTTATTTCCCTCATTTTTGATATGCGTTTTTCTGGATTTTTTTGTTGTTATTCTGTCTCTCACTGTTCAAATAAACCTACCATACAAATTATAGACTGATCATTTCTTTGTCAGTGGGCAAATGTACAAAATCAGCAGGGGATCAAATACTTTTTCCCTCACTGTATGCGTGGGAAGCTAACAGCCATTTATGTGTTGTATAGTTTGTGTTTTTGGGGATGTCACTTCATGCTACTGTGGGGCAGTAATACATAAGGTGACGAGTCAGGTCATAGGTTAGGTTACGTTTAAAGTAGGGCTGTGACAGTCATGGAATTTTCGATGACTGTAATTGGCCAGCCAAATGACTGCACTCACCATAATAACCGTTAGAATAGCAAAAAAGACACACATTTTCTCCTCTCCTTCGCTCCTGACTGCATGTCCTGCCATAGAAATACAATGAATAGAACGAACATCCCCATTCAAGTCAATGAAGGCATTATGGGTGGACTGGCAGCCATTGCGAGTGTACCCACAGGAGCAAAGTCTTGCATCGCTTTCATCTCAATGGGTGCGTTTCTCTGCTCAGACGTTGCTGACGCCTGCCAGATCTTACAACACCTGGATGGCTATTTTACGTACCTTTCAACCACATCATGGTCGTGTTACGCTGCTCAGACGTTGCATGCATCAACCAATGGTTGTGTGCCCCATCATCGACTGTGCAGTCGGGCACCAGACTGCTATAAAATAAAGTGGTTAGCTGATACGTAAAATACTTATCCAGGCGTTGTAAGATCTGGCATGTGTCAGCAACGCCTGAGCAGAGGAAAACGACCGACATGTTATAGCAATCTGGTGCCCGCAGGGGAATGCGACCAATATCTGCGGTGCCGCTCATGGCAATGTCATCTCGCTGAGTCTACCTTGAAATTAAAGTCAATCTTAATGTGACCCCGCCAAATTCAGAATCTTGACAACCCAATTAGAAAAAAAGCTTGAAAAGCCCATTCGATTTTTATTTAGTTTGAGTTTTTCAAACAGGTTTGTTAATGATTTAATTTCAGTTTACTAAATCGTTTTTATTTCAGTTTTCATTTACTTCCCAACACACCCACCTGGTTGAAGCCCTTCAAGGCCAGATCCTGGTGCATTTTATTGAGGGCCAGCTTGCCAGCGATAATACCCGTCTTCAGGTTGACCTCCCCGGGGGACGAGGCCTTGGCGTCAGGGTTCCACTTGGGGTAGAAACGCTCCTCCTTCACCACTGAGATCTACAGGCAGACACGCAGAGGAGATGGTCACTAAAGACCATAGTCATTCATCATCCATGGCTATTTACTGTACAATACTACTATAGTACCTACCATAATTCTAAACTTTCCTTTGGCTTTATACTTAAAGGGAAACTTCACAATTTTTCAACTTCATAATCTCCAGCACCACCCCAACATCAACATATTGTGAAAATGGCACATTTCTATGTTTTGTTTTAAAAAATAAGGAAAATAAGTGTTTCCTAGGGCATCATCGGTGTGCATCGTGTGATTTTGACATTTACATTTGTACATTTTAGTCATTTAGCAGACGCTCTTATCCAGAGCAACTTACAGTTAAGTGAGTGCATACATTTTTATAAAAATAAAAATAAAATCATACTGGCCCCCCATGGGAATTGAACCCACAACCCTGGCGTTGCAAGCGCCATGCTCTACCAACTGAGCTACACGGGGCCCAGTGAGTTGTGAGTAGGCATTGCCCACTAATTGCTTACTAATTGTCTACTAATTGGTTGATGATGTCATTGGAAACACTTATCTTTCTCTAGCTTTTTTACTACAAAACATTGAAACACACCATTTTCACATATGTTGATGTTTGGGTGGTGCTGGAGATGATGAATATGAAGTTGAAAATTTTTGAAATTTCCCTTTAAAGTGATTTGAGATATATATAGTGATGCTATAGTGTTGTATATGCATTTAACATATACAAATATCAGGATAAAAGTCATTATACTGTTATGACCGAGAAAAGGTGTGAGTGTTACCTGGTGGGGCACCATCTCATCATATCCCCTGGTGCTGCCAGAGCAACAGCAGGCCATTGAAACGATGGCAGAGCTGGGGAGCGAGTCGTAAGCAGAGCGGAGCTGGAACATAGACATCAAAAAAGGAATTGACACACCCAGGTTTGTGGTGCCCTACTTTTTTTTAATTAGGGGGAAATGTTCCCAGAGAATGAACAGGGACACAGCACAAAGGGGTACCGCTCCACTGCCTCACTGGAGTTTCATATAGCACTGGATTTAAGATTTAAACCCAAAGTTCATACTGAAATCAACCAGGTTCTGACCAGGTTCTATATTGTTTAACAATATGTATCAATGTACATACTAGCATACCACTTAGAATGCATGGCCAGTATATTTGCTTCATTCTAAGAAGTAGTATGCTATCTACAGTAGTGTGCATATTGAAACATTGCCTAGATATGTTTTACAGCAATGAACTAGCAATGGCCACTATAATGCTATGCTGTACCTGAATAACAGAAGTCAAGAATAGGCTACCTAAATAGGCCACTTAAGAATAACGTACCTGGATGGGGCACTCGTTGTCGTGGGTGACATCCAGGAACATGGCGTGTGCAATGCTGGGCACCAGGGGCCGGAGGCTGGGCTGGACGAAGGCTCCGACGGGCTCCCCTCCATACCTGTACACCAGCCTGCCCTCCTCGTGACTGTCCCCTGCACTCATTGCCTCTGGAAGGGACAGGTAGAGGGAAAAAGAGGGAGGAAGGGATTTACAGTTACACCCCTGTATTACTTTGTAGTCTTTTCAATCACATACAATGGTGCCAACACGCAGGACTTGAGAATGCATGTTGATACCATTTTCCTTTCAAAGATGCAGTGATGCATTAACCTGGTCTCAGATCTGTTTGTGGTGTCTTACCAACTCCTTTGGTCATTCATGACAACGTCCAAAGGAGTAGACCAAACAGATCTGGGACCAGGCTAGTGGTGTGTAGTCCTACATCTGATGAGCGAGGTAATGCTTAGCTTATTTGCAAAGACATTGTCCAGGTCCTCGCTGCCCGTAAACAGCTCAGCCACCACATACAGACTGGGCCTCACCACACGAGCCACATCCAACATGTACTACATGTACACATCCACAGGCCAGTCAACAAGGGGTTAAATCATAGAGAGAGGGTGGAAAGAGGGGAAGGAGGGGGTGGAGGGTTAGGTTGAAGGAGGGAGAGAAAGGATGGATGAGGGGTAGGGAGAGGGAAGAAGAAGTAGAAATGAAGCTAAGCAGGAGAGGAGGTTAGTATGGAGGAGTGATGGGGGTCAAGGTCAAGGTGCAAAAGAAAACATGCCAAAATCCAAAACAGAAACCAAACAGAGAGACAGAAATATGAGAAGAGAACCGACAAAGGGGTGAGGGGGACGACAAAGTATAAAGGTCAAAAGGTAAACGAGGTGTTTAGACCAGGAAGTAAACGACAGGTGATATGTTTAATGCAAAACATTTTAGCAGATACTATGTAAAGTGAGGTATCAGGAATGATGAGATGAAGGTTGTAAATGGGAGTTATTAGAGAGATGTAGTGAGAGAGACACATAGAAAGAAACAAAAACAGAGATTTAGTGTCGTGCCTAAACAAAACATTTTTGGTAAAACTTTATTTTACAGTCCTAATATAGTACTTGTGTTTACTCTAAAATGATTTGGTAACCAACGATACTTTCCGGTACTTACTTTGAAGAAACAGGTACCAGATGATACAAATTGGTCCGTTTTTCAATTGATCTCAAAGACACCAAAATGTAATTATGTAAGCAAGTAAACACCAGATATGTAAAATAAAGTGTAACCTAGGGTTTAACCCCAACCACTCCAGTGCTTTGTCTACTTCATGTGAACGTCCGGTACCTCTGACAAGACTGGTTATCCCCAGGCGGTTAACAAACACATTATCAATGAGCTCGCTGCCTGTAAAGAGCTCCGCGATCACATACAGGTTGGGCCTGACAGCCCTGGCTGCTGCCAGCATGTGCTACGGAAAGAGAGTGGTTTCAGTAATTACATTGTTCCGTCCCTTTACAGCGAATGATCACTACTTTATTCATACATCAAGTGTATCAATTGTTACCTTGGAAGATCCTTAAATCTTATTCATTGGCCATGCAGTAACACTATATGGGTTTCATAGAGTGTGGAATGGTATGGGCTACATGGAGTGTAATAACAAACTCAAATGGCTCAGACTGAATGGAATGTACCTCAGCCACGTGCAGGGGGGTGGAGTGACAGTTGTCCAGGCGGACTCCGGCGAAGTGCTCCGCTGTGATCTCTGTGTACTTCTGCATGTGGGCCCACAGGTAGGGGCAGTCCTCGGGCTTGTCGCCGTAGCGAAGCTTGACGCTGTCGCCCCAGCAGATCAGCTCTCTCCTGATGTACACGTTAGAGCCTGGAAAGACAGAGAGGCATTAATTTCTTGACGTTCTCAGGGACTGGGCCTCTAGTAACACTGGGAATGATATTTACATCACACTGGCTCCCCCTTGTGGAAGGATCAGGTTACCACTGAAGCAGCATTGCTATTTCCAGCTTTTTGACTGTCTAAACTAAGCATTCATCTTTACATTCATCTATATCCCTTAGGCTACACATGGTAAGATATCACGCATCTCCAGACTGTTTGCATGTCATTGACCAATAGAGACACACTGATCTTTGCCCTGATTAAAAAAGTGAGTGTAAAGTATGATCTTCCTTAGCGGAAAGCACTTATTGTAAGTTGATCTGGATAAGAGCATCTTTTTAAAAAATTATAATGTAAAACAATTGACTAAGCACCAACATCAGCAGAGCTGGGGCACAGTGGAGAAGACTGCCAGAAGTGGAGATACTTTTGTTGCTGCCCTATGTGCCAGCCGCACACAATGGAGAGAAGTGAATGAATGCAAACCTGGCTCAGCAAAGTTTCTAAGAGGGTCGTCTCCCATCACCCAGCCGTTGTGAGCCAGGAAGTGACAGGCGTTGTCTGGCTGGTCCATCATCTTCAGGTCATCCTCCAGGCTCTTCTCCTCGAACGGAAAGGTGAAGTATCTGTCAACACACGCACATTTAATTAGTTGGATCCATAATGAAATGTGAAAACAAAGGACCCAAATTGTATCTGCATGTGCATTACTGCTTCGGCCCTAAGGAGGGCACTCCTGCTTAAATAAGTTTAGCATGATATAATGTCTTATGTCACGGATGGAACCTTTTTTTCCACTGCCGAGGGTTCAATAAAGTGAATCTGCCTCTTTGACATTACAGTCATAATACTGTAGACCTTGTTTCTAAAGCCATTTTTTGTATTCATGTGAGTGAAATACACTAGGTCATGAAGCCTTTTAACATCTACATACAGTCAGCACACAGCCTACCTTCAAACCCCATATTTTCAGCCAGAATTTAGCTATATATTTTTTTGACGACCCCACTGCACTTCCCCCGACCCCGAGTTTGAATACCACTGGCCTACCTGGTAACAATAGGGTCTTTCCTGGTGACGGGGCCCAGTTTGGGTCCGTGGTCAGCCAGGCGCTCATAAACAACATTTCCCACAATGCAGTTAGTGGCCTGAGTGGAAAAAAAGAAGTAGAACAAAGAATTGTAAAATGGATGGACTACATTATCCAGACACGCATATGGAGCATACCAAAGCTACTGATGGGGGGGGGGGGCTACCTGCTCCTGGTGGTGTAGCATCTGCTGGTACTGCTCTTTATTGATCTCCTCCAGTCTCCCCCACAGCCTGTTACAGGCCTCCAGAATGGCTTGTGTACTGTGGCTGGACAGGGAAAAGGATTGACATGTGCAGGATGAGACTTGGCTTTAGATTTGGGGGTCGATTCAGAATCCACTCAATAAACTGATGTAAAGTCAGGATCATCAACGTTGGCAATCCAAGTAACTAGAGGTTGGGGTGTCAAACATACGGGTCGCAGGACGGATCCGGCCCGCGAGCCTAAAGAAAACGTTTTTTTTCTTTAAAATAATAATAAAAACGTACAACCTCAATCTACATTGAAATTACTAAAACCAAATTGAAACTGTGTATAAATGATAATGGACCTACATTTATACAGTCTCTTTACTCTGTCCAGCTTGTTAACATTCACCAAAACGAAAGCTAGACAGTCAGGGAGCATTGAAAATTCCCAAACCTATGGACTGTTTTCTGCACATTTTGATGGCAAGGAAATATTTAAAAAACATTGTGCGGCCCTCCGTACCTTGTTGAACACGAAATGCGTCCCTTCGGCAAAATAAGTTTGACACACATCTATAAAGTACCAAACACGCACCAGGGTTGGGGTCAATTGCATTTCAATTCAGGGAGTAACCTAAAGCATTGAGGAAATTGGAATTTCAATGTCACCACACACACCCACACACTTACCTGTGAGGCACAAAGGTCTCCAGAGCAGAGTCCATGTCCACTTCGTTTCCGAAGCGTCTGAACTTTGGGTCCTGAATGATCTTCAGTCCCTGTTTACCCCCAGTCTTCTTCTGGTCTGGTTTCTCTCCTGATTACAACCACATAATACCACAACCCATTCAATTAATCCATCAATACCAACACATTGAAACATTTACTCAATACCAAAACACATCATTTCTCTGATTGACAAGGGTGGTGGATTAGGAAGCATATACTGTAGCTGCCAAAATTAATCTTAAAATGAAAATTGGATAATGATAAAATCAACAATACGTTTGCTTGTTTAGGCCTCTTTGCTTCTGTTTGGTTCTTTATACCCCAGTTATTATAATGACACAACAGATGTCATGAACAGAAAGACAGAACAGTACAGTGCTCAGTTGAATGCTCTCACCATCTACAAGCAGGTCCCTGAACTCCTCCACAGCGCTCTCGATTCTGACCTGGAAGAACTCCCACAGCTTGATCTTGGGGAACACCTGCCCCCACAGAACATCGCGGATTGCCTGAGAGAGATTAAAAAATAAAAAATAAACAGGTTCAAGGTTCAGGTCTTCCCCAAAGGAGCTCACAATTTCATTAAGACAAACCCAATAAGGTGATATGTGTAAGGCCCTGAGTTTTTCCTGACCACATCGTGGCATGATCAGGAAAAAACTCTGGACCACTGTGGCCAGGGTTATAAAATTCCCATAAACTTTCCGGTTTGAGGATTTCCTTCCTGCTTATTCCATCCTGATAAGTTCCCGGTAGGAGGATTTTCGGAAAACATGGGAATTTTGGGAAGGTTTCTGGAATGTTGCAACCCTAGCTGTGAAAGTGACCTTCAGACACTCACATTGAGGTGCCCCTCATTCTTGACCAGGGCGGGAAGGCCGTTAGTAGCGTACTTGGCGTCAGCCATGTTGCAGGTCATGTGCCATATGGCCCGGTCCAGGACCCAGGCTGGCCACAGGTGGGGGGAGTTGACCAGGTTGTAGCCACACTCAGGGTGCTCCTTGATCCATGGGCTGTTGGCGGCTGCACATGGGAGGGGAAGGGGACAATGCAAGAGTTACCACACAGAAATCTAACTAACTGTTATGGAGGACATTGAGGCCTTTTGTCAAGGAATATTACTAAGGGCAATGAAGGTTAATGGACTCTCTCTATGCAGACACTCCCTGATGATATCAAAGCTAACCTTCTGTCAGTGGTAGGATAACCGTTGGGCATATGAACAAAATGGCTGTTGTACAGTCGTGGTCAAAAGTTTTGAGAATGACACAAATATACATTTTCACAAAGTCTGCTGCCTCAGTTTTTATGATGGCAATTTGCATATACTCCAGAATGTTATGAAGAGTGATCAGATGAATTGCAATTAATTGCAAAGTCCCTCTTTGCCATGAAAATGAACTTAATCCCCCCAAAAAACATTTCCACTGCATGTCAGCCCTGCCACAAAAGGACCAGCTGACATCATGTCAGTGATTCTCTTGTTAACACAGGTGAGAGTGTTGACGAGGACAAGGCTGGAGATCACTCTGTCATGCTGATTGAGTTAGAATAACAGACTAGAGGCTTTAAAAGGAGGGTGGTGCTTGAAATCATTGTTCTTCCTCTGTTAACCTTGGTTACCTGCAAGGAAACACGTGCCGTCATCATTGCTTTGCACAAAAAGGACTTCACAGGCAAGGATATTGCTGCTAGTAAGATTGCACCTAAATCAACCATTTATCGGATCATCAAGAACTTCAAGGAGAGAGGTTCAATTGTTGTGAAGGCGGCTTCAGGGCGCCCAAGAAAGTCCAGCTAGCGCCAGGACCGTCTCCTAAAGTTGATTCAGCTGCGGGATCGGGGCACCACCTGTGCAGAGCTTGCTCAGAAATGGCAGCAGGCAGGTGTGAGTGCATCTGCACGCACAGTGAGGCAAAGACTTTTGGAGGATGGCCTGGTGTCAAGAAGGGCAGCGAGGAAGCCACTTCTCTCCAGGAAAAACATCAGGGACAGACTGATATTCTGCAAAAGGTACAGGGATTGGACTGCTGAGGACTGGGGTAAAGTTATTTTCTCTGCTGAATCCCCTTTCCGATTGTTTGGGGCATCCGGAAAAAAGCTTGTCCGGAGAAGACAAGGTGAGCGCTACCATCAGTCCTGTGTCATGCCAACAGTAAAGCATCCTGAGACCATTCATGTGTGGGGTTGCTTCTCAGCCAAGGGAGTGGGCTCACTCACAATTGTGCCTAAGAACACAGCCATGAATAAAGAATGGTACCAACACATCCTCCGAGAGCAACTTCTCCCAACCATCCAAGAACAGTTTGGTGATGAACATCGCCTTTTCCAGCATGATGGAGCACCTTGCCATAAGGTAAAAGTGATAACTAAGTGGCTCTGGGAACTCCCTAGACCTTAATCCCATTGAGAACTTGTGGTCAATCCTCAAGAGGCGGGTAGACAAACAAAAACCCACAAATTCTGACAAACTCCAAGCATTGATTATGCAAGAATGGGCTGCCATCAGTCAGGATGTGGCCCAGAAGTTAATTGACAGCATGCCAGGGCAGATTGCAGAGGTCTTGAAAAAGAAGGGTCAACACTGTAAATATTGACTCTTTGCATAAACTTAATGTAATTGTCAATAAAAGCCTTTGACACTTATGGAATGCTTGTAATTATACTTCAGTATACCATAGTAACATCTGACAAAAATATCTAAAAATACTGAAGAAGCAAACTTTGTGAAGACCAATACTTGTGTCATTCTCAAAACTTTTGAACACCACTGTACAGTGCCTAGTGAAAGTCTATACACCCCTTGCACAGTCTTCACATTTAGCTGCCTTAAAATTAAATCTAAAAAGGGATTAATTTAGATTTTTTTCCTACAGATCTACACAACCTCCTCCACATTTTCAAAGTGAAAAAAAGTAAACACATTTTTCCAAATGAATTAAATGAAGAAGAAAAAAGTTGTCTTGATTGTGTATGTCTTCACACCCCAGAGTTAATACTTGGTCGAAGCACCTTTGGAAGCCATTACAGCTGTGAATAATTTTGAATAGAATTCTAGCCAGGGTTGTGGGTATGAAAAACATTCTAACCATAGTTATGATATGAGCACATATGACAGATAAGGGGAAATCTAACAAAGGTAACCATTTCTTAATGTTACATCAAGTAACAGCAGAGCACACCCATTGGTTCACCATGAGCTGCACTGAGCACACAGCACACCAGTAGCCAGGTCGGATGTCAGCTAGCACATGGCCTTTAAGCTGCCATGGAGATAAGGTTTCTCTGATCATCCGACCTTTTACAATACTGGGCCTGGGCCAGAGAATGCTGCTCTCAAGCCTTTATACTCTCCAAGCTTTACCTAGGTTTCTGAAGCAGACTAACTACACTGCACTGTAATAAATGACCCTTATTAGATAAACTTGTAAATCAAAAAGTATACAACTGCACTAAACAGGAACAAGTAGACAATAGAGAAACAACTCAACTACCTCCATATAAGCACTGCACTCAAAAACTGAGGACAAAATAAACCAATTCTGAACCAATGGCAACGAGTCCATTTGACGCAGGTTCTATTCAAAACACATCTAATCAATTGGAGCATGAGTTAATTATTTCATTCTCCCTTCTTAGTTTAGCATGCTTGTCACAAAGACTCCACATAGTGTCTGCCTGAACTGCTATACAACAGCTTGACTGCAGGGCTGCACATAGTGACTAGGTTTAAGTTCACCCATAACTAAGTTGTGCAGAATTATCTAGGGAGGGTATTTTTAACACGGCACTCATCTTTAAAGCTTGCACTGGATTCGAGGACCATGACTCGTCATAATTTTTGCGACTGTGGCATTTCAATAGTGGCCTTTCCCTAGTCTATATTCAGTGTGAAACATGCAGTATGCACACCCATTGTGATATTAGGAGTTCTGCTATGGCAACCATAGCAGAACCATGGGGCGGCAGGTAGCTTAGTGGCTAAGAGCGTTGTGCCAGTAATCGAAAGGTCGCTGGTTCTAATCCCCGAGCCGACTAGGTGAAAAATCTGCCGATGTGCCCTTGAGCAAGGCACTTAACCCTAATTGCTCATGTAAGTCGCTCTGGATAAGAGCGTCTGCTAAATGATGTAAATGTAATTTTTTAAAAATGTAACCAGTAAGGTACATTTAACAACACAGTAGTATTAAACAATCTCTTGACAGGGGATGTTACAGACACAAACCACATAAATCAAAAAAGGCCTTAGTCAACACACTTGACACTATACAGATAAACTCCCCCCCCCCCCAAAAATAAAATAAAATAATTTTCCTACATTCCCTAGAGCGGGACTTTAAAAACGTTGTACACGTAGAGGGATATTAGGGATGACTACTAAACTATGAATTGTGAGACCTGCCTGGCTTGCTGACAAATTCTGGTTATTTTTCCCTGAACTATGAGAGGAACAAACTGCTCTTTAGGTATGGCCTCATTGTAACAGACTGTGATGCAATTGTTGTAACCTACTGGACAGCTCATCGTTCAACCAAAGAGAGGGAGACACACACCCACACATATGTCCACGCCCCATCCCACAACTACAAACACACACCTGTATGATTGTAGACCACGTCAGTGATACAGATCATATTCCACTCTTTCTTCAGTTTCTGCACCAACTCTCCCACATCTGTCCATGTGTAGTTCTTTCCCGGTGGCGAAAACTCTGGGTTCAGGCTTAGTTGGTCAGCTAGGGAGTAGCAGGACCTAGATTTACCGAGCTTCTGCAGAGGCGTGAAGTGGATCATGTTGTAGCCTGGGAAACAAACAAACTACATTATATCAACAATGTAAGAAATTAGTACTATAAGAAATAACATATTATAAGATATTAGAAGACATATTCTAAGAAATTGTAAGCTATATGAATACATAAAGAGAGTTGCACAACCGCTCTCTCTGAAAGTATTCAGACCCCTTGACTTTTTCCACATTTTGTTACGTTACATCCTTATTCTAACATGGATTAAATAAATACAAAAATCCTCAGCAATCTACACACCAAGTGAAAGCAGGTTTTTAGACACTTTTACAAATGTATTAAAAATTAAACCGAAATACCTTATTTACCTAAGTTTTCAGACCCTTTGCTATGAGACTCGAAATTGAGCTCAGGTGCATCCTGTTTCCATTGACCATCCTTGAGAGCAAAAACCAAGCCATAAGCTCGAAGGAATTGTCCGTAGAGCTCAGAGACAGCATTGTGTCGAGTCACAGATCTGGGGAAGGGTACCAAAACCTTTCTGTAACATTGAAGGTCCCCAAGAACACAGTGGCCTCCATCCATCTTAAATGGAAGAAGTTTGGAACCACCAAGACTCTTCCTAGAGCTGGCCACCCCGCCAAACTGAGCAATAAGCAATCTGGGGAGAAGGGCCTTGGTCAGAGAACCCAATGGTCACTCTGACAGAGCTCTAGAGATCCTCTGTGGAGATGGGAGAACCTTCCAGAAGGACAACCATCTCTGCAGCACTCCACCAATCAGGCCTTTATGGTAGAGTGGCCAGACAGAAGCCACTCCTCAGTAAAAGGCACATGACAGCCCACTTGGAGTTTGCCAAAAGGCACTTAAAGCCTCTCAGACCATGAGAAACAAGATTCTCTGGTCTGATGAAACCAAGATTGAACTCTTTGGCCTGAATGCCCATGTGTCACTTCTGGAGGAAACCTGGCACCATCCCTACGGTGAAGCATGGTGGTGGCAACATCATGCATGTTTTTCAGCGGCAGGGACTGGGAGACTAGTCAGGATCGAGGCAAAGATGAACGGAACAGTACAGAGAGATCCTTGATGAAAACCTGCTCCAGAGCGCTCAGGACCTCAGACTGGGGCAAAGGTTCACCTTCCAACAGGACAACGACCCTAAGCACACAGCCAGGACAACGCAGGAGTGGCTTCAGGACAACGCTCCCCATCAAACCTGACAGAGAAGAATGGGAGAAACTCACCAAATACAGGTGTGCCAAACTTCACACCCAAGAAGACTCAAGGCTGTAATCACTGCCAAAGGTGCTTCAACAAAATACTGAGTAAAGGGTCTGAATACATATGTAAATGTCATATTTCCAGTTTTTTTTTAAAAATAAATTTGCAAACATTTCTAAATTGCTGTTTTTGCTTTGTCATTATGGGGTATTGTGTGTAGATTGATGTGGAAAAAAAACAATTTAATAAATTTTAGAATAAGGCTGTAACCTAACAAAATGTGGAAAAAGTCAAGGGGTCTGAATACTTTCCGAAGGCGCTGTGTGTGTGTATATATATATATATTGTATATACAGTACCAGTCAAAAGTTTGGACACACCTACGGTTGGAAATATACATAAGGAGATAATCCGTTCACCCACACCTCACAAAGACATGGCGGTTCGAACCAAAAGTCTCTGATTTGGACTCCAGGCCAAAAGGACAAATTTCCACCACTCTAATGTCCATTGCTCCTGTTTCTTGGCCCAAGCAGGTCTCTTCTTCTTATTGGTGTCCTTCAGTAGTGGTTTCTTTGCAGCGATTCGACCATGAAGGCCTGATTCACACAGTCTCCTCTGAACAGTTGATGTTGAGATGTGTCTGTTACTTGAACTCTGTGAAGCCTTTATTTGGGCTGCAATTTCTGAGGCTGGTAACTCTAATGAACTTATCCTCTGCAGCAGAGGTAACTCTAGGTCTTCCATTCATGTGGCGGTCCTCATGAGAACCAGTGTCATCATAGCACTTGATGGTTTTTGCGACTGCACTTGAAGAAACAAAGTTCTTGAAATTGTCCGTATTGACTGACCTTCATGTCTTAAAGTAATGATGGAATGTCATTTCTCTTTGTTTATTTGAGCTGCTCTTGCCATAATATGGACATGGTCTTTTACCAAATAGGGATATCTTCTGTATACCCCCCCCCCCCCCCCTCCACCTTGTCACAACACAACTGATTGGCTAAAAAGCATTAAGAAGGAAAAATAATATTTAAGAAGGCAAACCTGCTAATTGAAATGCATTCCAGGTGACTACCTCATGAAGCTGGTTGAGAGAATGCCAAGAGTGTGCAAAGCTGTCATCAAGGCTAAGGGTGGCTTTTTGTCTTTACTATTATTACTATTATTCTACAATGTAAAAAATAGTTAAAGAAAAAAAAAGAAAAAAAAAAGAAATTTGACTGGTAGTGTATAAACTGTATATACAGTTGAAGTCGGAGGTTTACATACACTTAGGTTGGAGTCATTAAAACTCGTTTTTCAACCGCTCCACAAATTTCTTTTTAACAAACTATAGTTTTGGCAAGTCGGTTAGGACATCTACTTTGTGCATGACACAAGTCATTTTTCCAACCATCGTTTACAGACAGATTATTTCACTTATAATTCACTGTATCACAATTCCAGTGGGTCAGAAGTTTACATACACTAAGTTGACTGTGCCTTTAAACAGCTTGGAAAATTCCAGAAAATGATGTCATGGCTTTAGAAGCTTCTGATAGGCTAATTGACATAATTTGAGTCAATTGGAGGTGTACCTGTGGATGTATTTCAAGGCCTACCTTCAAACTCAGTGCCTCTTTGCTTGACATCATGGGAAAATCAAAAGAAATCAGCCAAGACCTCAGAAAAATAATTGTAGACCTCCACAAGTCTGGTTCATCCTTGGGAGCAATTTCCAAACGCCTGAAGGTACCACATTCATCTGTACAAACAATAGTACACAAGTATAAACACCATGGGACCACGCAGCCGTCATACCGCTCAGGAAGGAGACGCGTTCTGTCTCCTAGAGATGAACGTACTTTGGTGCGAATAGTGCAAATCAATCCCAGAACAACAGCAAAGGATCTTGTGAAGATGCTGGAGGAAACCGGTACAAAAGTATCTACAATAAAACGAGTCCTATATCAACATAACCTGAAAGGCCGCTCAGCAAGGAAGAAGCCACTGCTCCAAAACCACCATAAAAAAGCCAGACTATGGTTTGCAACTTACATGGGGACAAAGATCGTACTTTTTGGAGAAATGTCCTCTGGTCTGATGAAACAAAAATAGAACTGTTTGGCCATAATGAACATCGTTATGTTTGGAGGAAAAAGGGGGTACTTGCAAGCCGAAGAACACCATCCCAACTGTGAAGCACGAGGGTGGCAGCATCATGCTGTGGGGGTGCTTTGCTGCAGGAGGGACTGGTGCATTTCACAAAATAGATGGCATCATGAGGAAGGAAAATTATGTGGATATATTGAAGCAACATCTCAAGACATCAGTCAGGAAGTTAAAGCTTGGTCGCAAATGGGTCTTCCAAATGGACAATGACCCCAAGCATACTTCCAAAGTTGTGGCAAAATGGCTTAAGGACAACAAAGTCAAGGTATTGGAGTGGCCATCACAAAGCCCTGACCTCAATCCTATAGAAAATGTGTGGGCAGAACTGAAAAAGTGTGTGCGAGCAAGGAGGCCTACAAACCTGATTCAGTTACACCAGCTCTGTCAGGAGGAATGGGCCAAAATTCACCCAACTTATTGTGGGAAGCTTGTGGAAGGCTACCCGAAACGTTTGACCCAAGTTAAACAATTTAAAGGCAATGCTACCAAATACTAATTGAGTGTATGTAAACTTCTGACCCACTGGGAATGTGATGAAAGAAATAAAAGCTGAAATAAATCATTCTCTCTACTATTATTCTGACATTTCACATTCTTAAAATAGAGTGGTGATCCTAACTGACCTAAAACAGAGCATTTTTACTAGGACTAAATGTCAGTAATTCTGAAAAACTGAGTTTAAATGTATTTGGCTAAGGTGTATGTAAACTTCCGACTTCAACTGTATACACTCCCAGTAATTTATAGGGTGAAACGTTGGTGTTTTACCCTATAAATTACTGGGATATATATATATATATATATATATATATATATATATATATATATATATATATAGAGAGAGAGAGAGAGAGAGAGAGAGAGAGAGAGAGTGTGCAACTCTTTTTATTTATTTTTATAGCTTATAGTTTCATACAAACGACACAGGGAATACTGTCTATCATATGGCATAATTTTGTATGCATTTTGTGACCCACCTGCATGTTGATGATTTCCCTAGCCCTCTTTCAAGAATGGAATATTGCAGAATGACAAGGTGAAATGTAGTGTAAACATTGTCTTGGGACCTTGAACTACACTGGTGTTCATATGTGACCTAAGAAATGGACACCAACCCTGTTCATTGTTCAAACTTCCAGGTAAGACAATGCACTAAAATAGTATTCTTCGGTCTTGACCCTGGAAGACTGCAGTGTGTGCAGGCATAACACACATGATCCACCTGATTTAGTTGATGACTAGTTGAGAAATTGAATCAGGTATTATAATCCAGGGTTGGAACAATTAAAGCCCTACACAGACTAGACAGCCCTCAAGGACCAGGAGTGAAGAACACTACACGTAAAGGCAGGCTTGCATAAGGATGGACCCCTGCCTCCTGCTCTCTCACCGGACTCTTTAGCCACCCTCAGTCTGTCTGGCCAGTCATCCAGGTGTCCGAGGCATTTGGACAGGTAGGTCTGGATGGTGATACAGTCCAGATGGACGTGGTGGTTGTCAGCTCCGGCACGCAGCACTGGGTCCACCACCAAGTAGCCACCGCCTGACTTCTCCTCATGGCTGGGGGTGAAAACAATGAATATGTAGTTAAAGGATGAAGCTCCAGTGATGTTGTGTCTCATACAGAAATGGAATATGAATACTGGTCTGTAACACAATAGTGTCTCACCCGTGACCAAAATTGTATTGGTACGATCCAGCGATCTGTAGGTCTAAAGAGCAGAACTTGTCAGAGTCGTCCTCTCTTCCCGTGGGGTTGTGCCAGTCCAGGGTTCGGAAGGTGTGACGGTCAAAGTGTTCCCCTGGGGCGGGGTAGTTAGTCTGCACACGCACATGTTTCCCCTGGAGAGTAGGGCCCAGACGGAACTGGAGCTCAAAGCCTTAGAAGAAACATATAGTACAAACAGGCCTGAGGATACAAGACATCTATATGATACATTCCATAGCATATGATAAAAGTACACAACTTGACAGAGATATTTTCTCAGGTATTATTCAGGTAACATCCCCAGACTGTAAAGGCAGATCTAGCCAAAAGCATGGAGCAAGGCACATGGATCGAGTTACGTCCCCCCTTTCCCCATGCTTTTGAATGCACCGCTAACTGATACAACCCCTTTCAATTTTCAATTTTTACTCATTCTCCAAAAATGCTACAGGAAATTTAGCACATTGCCATTAATGAACCAGCTAACAAATTTGGGACCAGTTTCCCCAGACACATATTTAGCCTAGTCCCAGACTAAAAATAATCTTAAATGGAGACTCTCTAATGAGATTACTTTTTAGTCCAGTATTTAGCTTAATCTGTGGAACCCACCCCTTAATCCAGGAAACCACCCCTTAGAGTCTAGTTGCCACCATGCCTGCTTTTGAAACCCTGACCTTAACACTCTAACCCTGTTGCCACTTATGGTAATTCAACACTAAGGTCAGGAATGTATGATCTCTAGGAGCATGTCTTTACTAGTTACACCATGCCTGCTAGAGAGAACTCAATGATAGCCTACAGTGTTGCTACCCTTTATGAACGGGTTAGAAAGGGTTTATAAATATTTACATTTACATCCAGTCGCTCTGGATAAGAGCGTCTGCTAAATGACGAAAATGTAAATGTAAAATGTATAAATACTGTGTAGACTATCAGTTATTAGTTAATAGATAGATATAGGAATAACAAATTAGTACGTTTACATGCACACTAATAATTCAATATTAAACTGATTATGGCATAAGGCAGAGTATGGCATTAGTCACGTAAACACCTTACTCTGCTTATCTTAATCGGCGTGAGGTCATAATTGAAGTAAACATACGCTGATTAAAACACATGGTTTTCTGAGTAAACTTTAAATTATTAGGACATGCAAACACCTTAATCAGATTACATTAAAATCAGATCCAACAATAATATCAAGGGCCTAGAAATCCAGGGCTTAAAAACAAAGGTGTCATTGTATGCTGATGATTCATGTTTATTTTATTTTTTTAATCCACAATTTGGATCCCTCCACAGCCTCATAGATGATCTAGATACTTTTTCTAACCTCTCTGGATTACAATCAAATTATGATAAGTGTATTTACTATATCACGTATTGGATCACTAAAAAATACAACTTTTACATTACTGTGTAGTTTACCAACATAATGGTTTGACGGTGAAGTGGACATACTCGGTATTCATATCCCGAACGAAATAAATGATCTCACTACAATACATTTTAATAGAAAGCAAAAATAAATAAGATCTTGCTACTGTGGAAAGAAAAATACCTGTCTATTTGTGGAAAAATCACCTTGATTAACTCTTTAGTCATATCCCAGTTTACCTATTTGCTTATGGCCTTGCTTACACCTAGCGACTTGCTTTGTAAATTATATGAGCAACAAATATTCCATTATATTTGGAACGGGCCTATGTATATAATTAATATGAATTCGGAGGGCAGAAATGATTAAATATCATAAAGCATTAAACCTCTCACTAAAGGCTTCAGTCATACAAAAGTTATACTTAAATCCGAACTTGTTCTCTAGCTGATTAGTAAGAATGTCTCACCCCATGTTCAAGAATGGCCTTTTTTCCCTTTATTCAGATTACAACCTATAACTTTCGGTTATTAGAAAATGTAATAATCTCTGAAATATCGCTATTTTTAAAATAAGCCATATAAAGTTGGTTGCAATTTCTGTTTAATCCACCAGAAAAGACAGAACAAATATTACAACAAATATTATGGTTAAACTCAAATATACGAACTGATAAAAAACACACAATATTTTTGGAATAAAAAATAAAAAAGGTATAATCTTTGTAAATTATATCATAAATAGGACTGGTGGAGTGATTTCACACATGTAGCTAACAAAAACGTATGGAAATGTCTGCTTTACTCAAAATTACAACCACCTAATTTCAGCATTACCACAAAAATGGAAGGGGGAGAAAGTAAGGAACTTGACTGTCGGCCCTGAATTAAAGAGCAAAATTGGCAAAAAAATTGTATACAAGTTTCATTTAAGGACTAAATAATTGACAGCTGTGCCATATAGATTGCAAAATAGTTGGGAAGAGATTTTCGATGTACCGATTCCATGGCACATGGTTTATGAACTGATACAGTATGAAAAATGTATGCACTCACTAACTGTAAGTCGCTCTGGATAAGAGTGTCTGCTAAATGACTAAAATGCAAATGTAATACACAAAACAATGCTGGATTCAAAACGTAGTGTTTTTCAATTTAAATTATTATACAAAATTCTTGCAACCAATAGAATGTTAAATACAGTTGAAGTCGGAAGATTACATACACCATAGCCAAATACATTTAAACTCCGTTTTTCACAATTCCTGAAAATTAACCCTAGTAAACATTCCCTGTCTTAGGTCAGTTAGGATCACAACTATTTTAAGAATGTGAAATGTCAGAATAAAATTAGAGAGAATGATTTATTTCAGCTTTTATTTATTTAATCACATTCCCAGTAGGTCAGAAGTTTACATACACTCAATTAGTATTTGGTAGCATTGCCTTTAAATTGTTTAACTTGGGTCAAACGTTTCGGGTAGCCTTCCACAAGCTTCCCACAATAAGTTGGGTGAATTTTGGCCCATTCCTCCTGACAGAGCTGGTGTAACTGAGTCAGGTTTGTAGGCCTCCTTGCTCGCACACGCTTTTTCAGTTCTGCCCACAAATTTTCTATAGGATTGAGGTCAGGGCTTTGTGATGGCCACTCCAATACCTTGACTTTGTTGTCCTTAGGCCATTTTGCCACAACTTTGGAAGTATGCTTGGGGTCATTGTCCATTTGGAAGACCCATTTGCGACCAAGCTTTAACTTCCTGACTGATGTCTTGAGATGTTGCTTCAATATATCCACATAGTTTTCCTTCCTCATGATGCCTTCTATTTTGTGAAATGCACCAGTCCCTCCTGCAGCAAAGCACCCCCACAGCATGATGCTGCCACCCCTGTGCTTCACGGATGGGATGGTGTTCTTCGACTTGCAAGCCACCCCCTTTTTCCTCCAAACATAACGATGGTCATTATGGCCAAATAGTTATATTTTTGTTTCATCAGACCAGAGGACATTTCTCCAAAAAGTACGACCTTTGTCCCCATGTGCAGTTGCAAACCGTAGTCTGGCTTTTTTATGGCGGTTTTGGAGCAGTGGCTTCTTCCTTGCTGATTGGCATTTCAGGTTATGTCGATATGGGACTCGTTTTACTGTGGATATAGATACTTTTGTACCGGTTTCCTCCAGCATCTTCACAAGGTCCTTTGCGACGGCTGTGTGGTCCCATTGTGTTTATTGTTTGTACAGATGATCGTGGTACCTTCAGGCGTTTGGAAATTGCTCCCAAGGATGAACCAGACTTGTGGAGGGCTACCATTTTTTTTTCCTGAGGTCTTGGCTGATTTCTTTTGATTTTCCCATGATGTAAAGCAAAGAGGCACTGGGTTTGAAGGTAGGCCTTGAAATACATCCACAGGCACACCTCCAATTGACTCAAATTATGTCAATTAGCCTATCAGAAGCTTCTAAAGCCATGACATCATTTTCTGGAATTTTCCAAGCTGTTTAAAAGGCACAGTCAACTTAGTGTATGTAAACTTCTGACCCACTGGAATTGTGATACAGTCAATTATAAGTGAAATAATCTGTCTGTAAACAATTGTTGGAAAAAATTACTTGTGTCATGCACAAAGTAGATGTCCAAACCGACTTGCCAAAACTATAGTTTGTTTACAAGAAATTTGTGGAGTGGTTGAAAAACGAGTTTTAAATGACTCCAACCTAAGTGTATGTAAACTTCAGACTTCAACTGTATATGGGGGATACAACGATCCCAGCGCTTCAGATTTTGATGCAAAGGAACAGAATAATTAGATCATTTGTTTTGGTACTGTCAATAATTAGCTTGTTTTTGGTCGCAGGTTCAGGAATGGCTGAAAAATTGCAACATTTACCTGGAGCTAACTCCGCAAATAGCACTGCTGGGTGATTTAAAAAGTAAATCGATCAATAATATAATAATACTCTTAGCAAAAATGTTTCTTTAATTTACAATATGTAGAATCTATGAAAATAGAAAGGTTCAGAACTTTTGTGAAACATCACAGCACCGTTTTAAAAAAATATGGCAAATCAAAACTGGATGGTGTTCAGAGATAGATGGGAGAGGTTGAGTGGAGCTGAAGGATGGGACTAAAAACAAAAGATAACTATTGTAAAATATACTGTGTCCGTAAAATGTATAATAGTACGTATAAGCTGGAAGTAGAAGCCTAAGTGTTGTTGTCCATTAGTTAACTCCAATTAGGGGAGGGATGGTAGGGTCAGGGGAAAATAATGAAGGAAAATATATTCAAAATATATATAATTTATACACTGCTCAAAAAAATTAAGGGAACACTTAAACAACACAATGTAACTCCAAGTCAATCACACTTCTGTGAAATCAAACTGTCCACTTAGGAAGCAACACTGATTGACAATACATTTCACATGCTGTTGTGCAAATGGAATAAACAACAGGTGGAAATTATAGGCAATTAGCAAGACACCCCCAATAAAGGACTGGTTTTGCAGGTGGTGACCACAGACCACTTCTCAGTTCCTATGCTTCCTGGCTGATGTTTTGGTCACTTTTGAATGCTGGCGGTGCTTTCACTCTAGTGGTAGCATGAGACGGAGTCTACAACCCACACAAGTGGCTCAGGTAGTGGAGCTCATCCAGGATGTCACATCAATGCGAGCTGTGGCAAGAAGGTTTGCTGTGTCTGTCAGCGTAGTGTCCAGAGCATGGAGGCGCTACCAGGAGACAGGCCAGTACATCAGGAGACGTGGAGGAGGCCGTAGGAGGGCAACAACCCAGCAGCAGGACTGCTACCTCCGCCTTTGCGCAAGGAGGAGCAGGAGGAGCACTGCCAGAGCCCTGCAAAATGACCTCCAGCAGGCCACAAATGTGCATGTGTCTGCTCAAACGGTCAGAAACAGACTCCATGAGGGTGGTATGAGGGCCCGACGTCCACAGGTGGGGGTTGGGCTTACAGCCCAACACCGTGCAGGACGTTTGGCATTTGCCAGAGAACACCAAGATTGGCAAATTCGCCACTGGCGCCCTGTGCTCTTCACAGATGAAAGCAGGTTCACACTGAGCACGTGACTGACGTGACAGAGTCTGGAGATGCCGTGGAGAACGTTCTGCTGCCTGCAACATCCTCCAGCATGACCGGTTTGGTTGTGGGTCAGTCATGGTGTGGGGTGGCATTTCTTTGGGGGGCCGCACAGCCCTCCATGTGCTCGCCAGAGGTAGCCTGACTGCCATTAGGTACCGAGATGAGATCCTCAGACCCCTTGTGAGACAATATGCTGGTGCGGTTGGCCCTGGGTTCCTCCTAATGCAAGACAATGCTAGACCTCATGTGGCTGGAGTGTCAGCAGTTCCTGCAAGAGGAAGGCATTGATGCTATGGACTGGCCCGCCCATTCCCCAGACCTGAATCCAATTGAGCACATCTGGGACATCATGTCTCGTTCCATCCACCAACGCCACGTTGCACCACAGACTGTCCAGGAGTTGGCGGATGCTTTAGTCCAGGAATGGGAGGAGATCCCTCAGGAGACAATCCGCCACCTCATCAGGAGCATGCCCAGGCGTTGTAGGGAGGTCATACAGGCACGTGGAGGCCACACACACTACTGAGCCTCATTTTGACTTGTTTTAAGGACATTACATCAAAGTTGGATCAGCCTGTAGTGTGGTTTTCCACTTTAATTTTGAGGGTGACTCCAAATCCAGACCTCCATGGGTTGATAAATTTGATTTCCATTGATAATTTTTGTGTGATTTTGTTGTCAGCACATTAAACTATGTAAAGAAAAAAGTATTTAATAAGATTATTTCATTCATTCAGATCTAGGATGTGTTATTTTAGTGTTCCCTTTATTTTTTTGAGCAGTGTATATATATTTACCAAAAAAATATATGGGGGATTGGAAATGATGCAGACAATTACATTGATGGAAGCCACAATCTATCTGCAACATTAAAGCTGATCTACCTCTAAGTCCCATCAGGTAGCCTGATTTCAGATGTGTCCATGTAAACAGGATTATTACAAAAATCTTTCTCCTTGCAAAGCATGTAAACATTTAAATCAAACTATTACAGTGCATTCGTAAAGCATTCAGACTCCTTCCCTTTATCCACACTTTGTTACGTTACAGCCTTATTCTGAAATGGATTAAATAAAACATTTTCCTCATCAATCTACACACAATATCCCATAATGACAAAGCAAAAACAGGTTTTAGGAATTTTTGCAAATGTATTAAAAATTAAAAACAGAAATACCTTATTTATATAAGTATTTTTCGACTCTTTGCTATGAGACTTGAAATTGAGCTCAGGTGCATCCTGTTTCCAATGATCATCCTTGAGATGTTTCTACAACTTGATTGGAGTCCACCTGTGGCAAATTCAATTGATTGGACATGATTTGGAAAGGCACACACCTGTCTATATAAAGGTCCCACAGTTGACAGTGCATGTCAGAGCAAAAACCAAGCGATGAGGTCGAAGGAATTGTCCGTAGAGCTCCAAGACAGGATTGTGTCGAGGCACAGATCAGGGGAAGGGTACCAAAAAATGTCTGCAGCATTGAAAGTCCCCAAGAACACAGTGGCCTCTATCATTCTTAAATGGAAGAACTTTGTAACCACCAAGACTCTTCCTAGAGCTGGCCGCCCGGCCAAACTGAGCAATCGGGGAGAAGGGCCTTGGTCAGGGAGGTGACCAAGAACCCGATGGTCACTCTGACAGAGCTCCAGAGTTCCTCTGTGGAGATGGGAGAAACTTCCAGAAGGACAACCATCTCTGCAGCACTCCACCAATCAGGCCTTTACGGAGCAAAGTACAGAGAGATCCTTGATGAAAACCTGCTCCAGAGCACTCAGGACCTCAGACTGGGGCGAAGGTTCACCTTCCAACAGGACAACGACCCTAAGCACACAGACAAGACAACGCAGGAGTGGCTTCGGAACAAGTCTCTGAATGTCCTTGAGTGGCCCAGCCAGAGCCTGGACTTGAACCCGATCCAACATCTCTGGAGAGACCTGCAAATAGCTGTGCAGCGACGCTCCCCATCCAACCTGACAGAGCTTGAGAGGATTTGCAGAGAAGACTGGGAGAAACTCCCCAAATACATGTGTGCCAAGTTTGTAGCATCATACCCAAGAAGACTTGAGGCTGTAATCGCTGCCAAAGGTGCTTCAACAAAGTACTGAGTAAAGGGTCTGAATACTTATGTAAATTTCTTTTAAATTTTTAATTTTTTATACATTTGCTCAAACTTCTAAAAACCTGTTTTTGCTTTGTCATAATGGGGTATTGTATGTAGATTGAAAAAAACTATTTAATCAATTTTAGAATAAGGCTGTAACGTAACAAAATGTGGAAAAAGTCAAGGGGTCTGAATACTTTGTATATTAATCTGACTATTCACAATAATCATATTATAGTGTGCATGTAACCAAATGAGTTCTTTCTAATCTTTGAAAATAGGTTCCGCTAATAAGCTCAGCAGCAGCTGCCTTATCAAGTGTGGTTGAGCCTGCACAGTTGCTCAACTGGAGAATTTGAGTGAAACTTGATCTCTACTTGTTCAATCCCGTTGTCGCTGTGCAACTGTAGTTGTGGTTTATGAAAATAATAGACAATGAAAGAGGTTATTCAAATCCTCTAAACCAGAATCTCTTCTTAAAGAAGAGATATGTCTCATAATAGTCTCATGTTACCAGATATCACAAATAATTAAAATGACTGAATGGCTGGGATCAGGCTATTATTCACACAATGTATAGTGTGAGTGCTATCTAGAAAACGCTGTTGGATTTCGTACAACGGAAATCTTGGGTGACCAAAAGGTGTCTGAATCCATGCAATAATTTGGACTATAATAAACTAAAAGACAACTCTCGCATCACAACAACATGTTCAAAAACTGCAATGCAACAAGACTGGGACATGTGTACATGTCCGCCTGCAACCACACTCCCCAGTCCCCATTGGCCATCTATAGAACTAGCACATTAGCATATTTAAATACTTAAATGATCACATTATTCTCATTCTCAATAAGTCAATACCATGGTAACCTAAGCCATGCATAAAAGGGAAATAATGTCCAGGTACCTTGGTCCAGGCGGAAGAGTGTCCTTTCCAGCTGTTCCATATCTTTGAGGACCAGGACTCGGACTTGGTTTGCCTGGAGGGACATTTTGACTTTCCCTATATAGGACGCCCTTTACTGTACAGGGGATGATGCTTTGGAATTTTAGTTCTCGAGACCCCCTTGTGAAAAAAAAAGAGAGTCATGTGTCACCAGCCATCAGCAACGTACAAGTAGGCAACTGTAGCCCATGTTTCCAAATACATTCATATTGAAATTTGACTCACATCTTTCTCGCTCCTCATAGGCTACACATATTTCTGAACATTAAACAACATTTTCATTCCAGTCTATTCCTCAGAACATGCATGGCTACATAACAACCAGTTGAAAATTGAAGCAATTAACAGAAGTTCTATTCCAGCTGTCTAAAAATAGTTACATTTTAGCAGCAGCCTATTACAGTTTGTAACATAATATTGTTGACACATTGTGACAGCTCACATGCTGTGGTTGAAATTGGACTAGAGGATCCAATTCTTAAAGATCAATGCATTTGTAATTTGATAAGTCACTACAAAGGTTAAGTTCTTAGAAGTGGAGCTGTCAGCCTTATTCAAAAGTGGAAACCATGTGCCAACTAAATCAAAACATACATACACAGCCAGTTTAAGTTCTTTCCATATCAACTAAATTCGTAAGACTTAAGTTTTCATCCCTTTTAGTTCACTGCAAGTATCCAACGGCTTCTCTCGCATACAACACACACTGTCAACAAACGCCTACTTGATTTTGCACAGTGTCCATATTTAAATAGCAATTCCACCACTTTTAAAAATCATATTCATAATCTTCAGCACCAAACCAGTGTCTACATATGTGAAAACAGCGCGTTTTTATGATCTGTGGTTAAAAAGATAAGGTCCTAAAAAAATGCTTCTCTGTGACATAGCAGGGTAGGATTAAAAGTAAAAAACTGTGATTTCTTTCTCCCTAGGTCACCGCAAATCTCAGTGTTTGATTAACATTGATGTCATCAGGTATAACTTTTTAACTTTACATTTGTTTCTACAAAACTTTGAAATGCGCCTTTTTCATATATATATATATACTGACAATGGTATTGTGCTAGAGATAATGAAAACGAGATTGAAAAGTGGTGGAGTTGCCCTTTAACTCATAACTCATTCTGGATAAGGTCGAGAATTCAGTCGGTTAAAAGGCCAACAGTGCTATTTTAAATGCTCGGTCTACGGTGTGCAGTCTCTGTCTGTCCCTATATAAGGACCGAGCAGGCAATTTGCTTCGTCCCGCAATGAGCCATTGTTTGTAAACAATTTCTCGTTGCAAACCGAAAGAAGCAGGCAACCACAAAACCTGACTCTGCAAGACGCGCACACAGTACACAAAGTAGTGTTGAAGCATTATGCTTAGTTTACAAACTGTCAAAAAGCAAACGTTATGCATCTGTTACATCCAACTTCAAATACTCAATGCATCGTTAAGAGTCGCTTGAGCGCCACTTGTAAAGATCCAGAGATTACAGGCTTAATTGTTCCTAGTTTGAAGAAGAGGCTTGGCATCTGACGGGAGCGTGTCAATGTTGCATGAACCTTTACCCCGACTACCGTACATGTACGAATATAAGAAAGCATTAATATAATTTATTGTACACAGATGCAGTGCGAATTCTATCCGTTTGGCAACATTATCTGGGGTTATTGCATAGCACAATTCGTCTGAATCACCAAATGTTGCAATGCAAAACATTAAATAAGAAATGATACACGATAAAACCGTGAGCAAATGCTGCGCTGCTTTTACATGAACGGGACATGTGTTACGCCTGTCTATTTATTCATGTAGTAAATATGTACTATTTTCTGCAGCACTTTTCACACTACAAGATCATTTCCATTTTGACTTAGATCTGACTTTGCCTTACAGACTGTGTCATCATCTGATAAAGATGTATGTAATCATAGGACAAAATGTCCTTACCCCACGTATGCCATATAATGAAACGCTAACATCCCATGTTATTGTAGCATTCCACCTTTCTACTAAAACTCATCACTCATCATCAGTGTGTAGACTAATACATTTTCATCAACTGAATTAACATGAGGCTATATGCAAAATATGTGTTTTTATTTATAGAATCAATACAACCACGTAAATTATATAGTGTTATTTACACTGGAATTGTACAATTATGATCATATGATTATTCAGTACATTGATTAGCATACAGAAATACAGTACCAGTCAAAAGTTTGGACACACCTACTCATTCCAGGGTTTTTCTTTATTTTTACTATTTTCTACATTGTAGAACACTAGTGAAGACATCAAAACTATGAAATAACACATATGGAATCATGTAGTAACCAAAAAAGTGTTACAATGTAGAAAATAGTAAAAATTAAGAAAAACCCTTGAATGAGTAGGTGTGTCCAAACTTTTGACTAGTACTGTATGTTATATGTATTATAAACACTGATAGTGTTATGTATATCAGCTGAGCTGAGTGTTATGATTGGATAAATACAGATATTTTGAATTTCTCGTTTTCCACCACCACAAATATTGAATTTCTCATGGAAGAATGGTGTCACATCCCTCCAATAGGGTTCCAGACACTTGTACAATCTATGTCAAATTGTATTGAAGCTGTTCTGGCTCGTGGTGGCCCAACGCCCTACTAAGACACTTTATGTTGGTGTTTCCTTTATTTTGTCAGTTAACTGTAGATCCGCACACAGCGCAATGACCACAATACGGGGAAGGCTTCTAACTTGCATTATATCTAACTACAACGGCTACAATGTATCCAGATAACTGGCTAATCCAGTCGATAGTTGATAATGAAGGTCCCCACAGTATGGTGTTGTTTGTTTGGTAACAATGTAACAAGTGTAAAGATAATCTTCTTCAGGGCATGCTTGTCTGAATGTTCACTGTCAATCATAGGCAATAGCGCCACCGTCAGCGCAGGAGAAGCCTATACAAGCATTCCACATTTCCACTGATCCTCATCCCAGCAGCATACCACTCTGCATTCCACTGTTGGCTTGCCCCTGAAGTTACGCAGGGTTGGTCCAGGTCAGCCTCTGGATGGGAGACCAGATGCTGATGGAAGTTGTGTTGGAGGGCCAGTAGGAGGCACTCTTTCCTCTGGTCAATGAAAAAGAAATCCCAAACACCCAGGGTAGTGATTGGGGACGGTCCTGGCGCTTGCTGGACTTTCTTGGGTGCCCTGACGCCTTCTTCACAACAATTGAACGTCTCTCCTTGAAGTTCTTGATGATCCGATAAATGGTTGATTTAGCAGCAATATCCTTGCTTGTGAAGCCCTTTTTGTGCATAACAATGATGATGGCACGTGTTTCCTTGCAGGTAACCATGGTTAACAGAGGAAGAACAATGATTTCAAGCACCACCCTCCTTTTAAAGCTTCCAGTCTGTTGTTCTAACTCAATCAGCATGACAGAGTGATCTCCAGCCTTGTCCTCATCAACACTCGCATCTGCACGCACAGTGAGGCGAAGATTTTTGGAGGATGGCCTGGTGTCAAGAAGGGCAGCAAAGAAGCCACTTCTCTCCAGGAAAAACATCAGGGACAGACTGATATTCTGCAAAAGGTACAGGGATTGGACTGCTGAGGACTGGGGTAAAGTCATTTTCTCTGATGAATCCCCTTTCCGATTGTTTGGGGCATCCGGAAAACACCTTGTCCGGAGAAGACAAGGTGAGCGCTACCATCAGTCCTGTGTCATGCCAACAGTAAAGCATCCTGAGACCATTCATGTGTGGGGTTGCTTCTCAGCCAAGGGAGTGGGCTCACTCACAATTTTGCCTAAGAACACAGCCATGAATAATGAATGGTACCAACACATCCTCCGAGAGCAACTTCTCCCAACCAATGCCTTTTCCAGCATGATGGAGCACCTTGCCATAAGGCAAAAGTGATAACTAAGTGGCTCGGGGAACAAAACATCGACATTTTGGGTCCATGGCCAGGAAACTCCCCAGACCTTAATCCCATTGAGAACTTGTGGTCGATCCTCAAGAGGCTGGTGGACAAACAAAAACCCACAAATTCTGACAAACTCCAAGCATTGATTATGCAAGAATGGGTTGCCATCAGTCAGGATGTGGCCCAGAAGTTAATTGACAGCATGCCAGGGCAGATTGCAGAGATCTTGAAAAAGAAGGGTCAACACTGGAAATATTGACTCTTTGCATAAACTTTATGCAATTGTCAATAAAAGCCTTTGACACTTATGGAATGCTTGTAATTATACTTCAGTATACCATAGTAACATCTGACAAAAATATCTAAAAACACTGAAGCAGTGAACTTTGTGAAGACCAATACATGTGTCATTATCAAAACTTTTGACCACGACTGTACAGTACCATTCAAAAGTTTGGACACACCTACTCATTCAAGGGTTTTTCTTTATCTTTACTATTTTCTACATTGTAGAATAATAATGAAGACATCAAAACTATGAAATAACACATATGGAATCATGTAGTAACCAAAAAAGTATTAAACAAATCAAAATATATTTTATATTTGAGATTCTTCAAATAGCCACCCTTTGCCTTGATGACATCTTTGCACACGCTTGACATTCTCTCAACCAGCTTCACCTGGAATGCTTTTCCAACAGTCTTGAAGGAGATCCCACATATGCTGAACACTTGTTGGCTGCTTTTCCTTCACTCTGCCGTCCGACTCATCCCAAACCATCTCAATTGGGTTGAGGTCGGGGGATTGTGGAGGCCAGGTCATCTGATGCAGCACTCCATCACTCTCCTTCTTGGTAAAATAGCTCTTACATAGCCTGGAGGTGTGTTGGGTCATTGTCCTGTTGAAAAACAAATGATAGTCCTACTATGCCCAAACCAGATGGGATGGCGTATTTCTGCAGAATGCTGTGGTAGCCATTCTGGTTAAGTGTGCCTTGAATTCTAAATAAATCACAGACAGTGTCACCAGCAAAGCACCCCCACACCATAACACCTCCTCCTCCATGCTTTACGGTGGGAACTACACATGTGGAGATCATCCGTTCACCCACACCGCGTCTCACAAA